CATCGTTTAGAGAGCTTTCAAAAGCCAACCTCAACAGTTCGTTAGAAACCCACGACGCGTAAACTCGCGTACGATGACGATGTAGGTTCATCCCGCCTCGTCGCCCACACGACCCTCGCCCCGTTCTCCCCCCCCGGCTTGCCGCCCGCGCAGTCTCGCTGGCGCGCGTCGACGCGGGGACGGTGACGCGCTGCAACTTCGCGGGCGACGCGGCGGCGGGCGCCTCGTGGACCGACAAGATCCTGGGCGTCAAGTCCGGCCTGGACGCTCCGCCGCCCGGCGCCAGCGGGGACGGGGAGGGGGCGGCTGACGACGAGTGGGTGAGCGACGCGCGTCTCTGGAGCGGCGGCGTGGGGAGGAGACGTGTGTACGTTGAGCTCCTCTCGTACCATACGGAGCCAAACCGCGCGAATCGGAGGTGGTTGGTCCCTGGAGCCAATATGCCAATCTGCGGGGCCGTGTTGGGCTTCCTACGCCGAGGGGGTGCAGGCTCACTCGACAAATCCCCTAGGATTGGCGACGTTCACGGTGATGGGTAGTCAACCCCGACTGGGATTTATAATAATAAAAATAAAATACAGCCCATTGTCACTACACTGCTGGATTAAGGCCTCCCCACGATGTTTCCATCCCGGGGCTTGCTTGACCATGTTACCACGATGTATGAACTTATTTAGCACCAGACGTTACTAACCGTGCTAATCGGAAGTGCAGGTTTAGGGCAAGTTGGTGCAGGGGATAGAGGTGGGGATAGAGAAGTGGTTCAGCATCATTCGCCACGTGAGCCGAAGGGGCAGGAATCGGACCCAGGTCGCCGGTTTCATGTCAAATTCAGGAATGCCGCACCAAGTCTAGAATTCTCTATCAGGAGGATCCTGCATTGGGATGTTGGGCCCAATTCCTCTTTGAATCGTATTTCCCACGTGGAAAGAAACCAGAACATCAGAGAATGCGCGCAAACACCACCAAAACTAAATCTCCCATCGTTTGTGCATGTTACAGGACTGACCTCGCCGTCGCTACTCAAAGGAGATGGAAGTGAACACCACATTACTCTTCTCCATCAGAAGTTTCCAAGTGTCTCCTCTTCCACGAATCTTCCCGGCTCACCATGCCAGGGATTCAGGGTGGCCTCCTGCAAGAACTTGCCTTATGTTGCATCTGGCGGCAACCACAGCATCAGGGAATGTTGCCGGCCCCGGGTTTGTCCACATTGTAGGAACTGTCACATTCTCGCCTACACGAGGCATGTGCACTGGGTTCAAATGACCATCTCCCGACCCTCCCTGCTGTAATTCCACCATTTAAGCTATGTACCCGCGTTTTCTCTAAGCTACTTTGTAAAAAAAATGATATATACAATTGCATTTTGTTTGATAAATAAAAAAAATCAACCATTCCAAACCATTGGTTTTGTGCTCACAAATCTCTTGCGGGTATCTCCGTGTGGAATTCAATACCTCGACACTTGAGATCAAGTTTGTAAAGGCTTTATTGCAATTGTATTCTAATGACCTTTGCATTGTGGAGTCTACAAACACTTTGGTTCCTTGCAGTACGATGCCGAGTAGAGTTCTACTCATTTGTTTGGGGGGGGGGGGGCGGGAAATCTGTTAAAAATGCGGGCGTGCTGCGCGGTAAGATGTAGCACAAGTTGGGAGCTGCGAAGCAAACGAACCGCTTAAGTGTTCACGAACGGGGCGCACCGCAGGCGGGCAAAAAACAGTGAAGAAAAACGCAACTCCAGTGTACGGCACACAAAGCAACACGCGTGGTGAGCGTCGTGGCGTGTGCACGACCGCCGACAAGACTCCAAACGAGACGGGGCGATTCACCACGCCCGACTGCTACCGAGCAATTTTAATGCACTGTGAAAGTGGACCGAGTGCGTTTCCACAGGACGGGGGTGGGGGGTCCATTTATAGATACCATTGATTTATCGTGACCCTGCTGCTTGTAGGACTTCTTTCGCACAGGAGACATCCAACCGTGCCCATCGGAGGTGCGGGGGAAGGACAACAAAGGAAATACAAAAAGCGGTTCTGAAAAAATGAGTTTTCAATCTGGATGATGATTTAAAAGTGCGTAGCTCCAGTGGCTTCCTAATATTGGAGGAGCGTTCCAGATGGCCGCAGAAGTGCATCTGAAACGGCACGATGCAGTGACGACCGTCTTTGTTCGATGGCTATAGCCAAAAGCCACCACTGCGAGGATGACCACCGGAGTTTGCGTGATGATTTATGCTCCTTGAGATCAGCAACGTATTGTGGTTAATTTGTGGTAAGCACTGTGTTTAATGATTGCGACCTTATGTATTCATTCAGCAACCTGAAATCCCTTCTCAACAGGCGACGTGAAAGCGATGGCTCCATATGTTACGGAGGGGTGTTTAAGGATTGAGGATGGTGGGCAAACATGTAGAGTCTTTGAAATGATATGTTCTCGGTGTCATTGCCTCGGTTATGTTAGTGTGGTATCTATAAATGGATTCCCCCCGTACAGTGAAGACAGCAGTTGGGGTGAATTAACCTCTGGTTGAAACTCTCTCCAGGGTCTGACTTCAGAATCCACAACCACCAACTCCACAGCCATCCCACTTCAGAGAAGATGACGCAAGTGTTAATTTTTCCCACGATGCACTCCGTTACCCAGAATGCCACTGACAATTTATGGCCAACAAATCACAATGCCAAAAACAACTTAAAGCTATAACCAAAATTACACCAAAAAAAACATAAGCAAAAAATCCTGAAGCCATGTTACAATTAGTCACAAAATAAACTTTCAATCCCTAAGTACCGCAAAAATTGATATTGTATTGCCTCTCCCACTTTTATAATACTCATTTTGTAAATGCAGGAACGAAAACACAGAATACAAGGACAAGAAGCCCACTGGCTCTATGGACCAGGATTGCGAAGCGCGAGATGCATACCCCGCTGGGGACAGGGGGAGTATTCTGTACTCTCAGCCTGACTTTTGCGGGTCTGCCGTAGTGAGAAATACAGTGAGGGAAAAAAGTATTTGATCCCCTGCTGATTTTGTACGTTTGCCCACTGACAAAGAAATGATCAGTCTATAATTTTAATGGTAGGTTTATTTGAACAGTGAGAGACAGAATAACAACAAAATCCAGAAAAACGCATGTCAAAAATGTTATAAATTGATTTGCATTTTAATGAGGGAAATAAGTATTTGACCCCCTCTCAATCAGAAAGATTTCTGGCTCCCAGGTGTCTTTTATACAAGTAACGAGCTGAGATTAGGAGCACACTCTTAAAGGGAGTGCTCCTAATCTCAGCTTGTTACCTGTATAAAAGGCACCTGTCCACAGAAGCAATCAGATTCCAAACTCTCCACCATGGCCAAGACCAAAGAGCTCTCCAAGGATGTCAGGGACAAGATTGTAGACCTACACAAGGCTGGAATGGGCTACAAGACCATTGCCAAGCAGCTTGGTGAGAAGGTGACAACAGTCGGTGCGATTATTCGCAAATGGAAGAAACACAAAAGAACTGTCAATCTCCCTCGGCCTGGGGCTCCATGCAAGATCTCACCTCGTGGAGTTGCAATGATCATGAAAACGGTGAGGAATAAGCCCAGAACTACACGGGAGGATCTTGTCAATTATCTCAAGGCAGCTGGGACCATAGTCACCAAGAAAACAATTGGTAACACACTACGCCGTGAAGGACTGAAATCCTGCAGCGCCCGCAAGGTCCCTCTGCTCAAGAAAGCACATATACATGCCCGCCTGAAGTTTGCCAATGAACATCTGAATGATTCAGAGGACAACTGGGTGAAAGTGTTGTGGTCAGATGAGACCAAAATGGAGCTCTTTGGCATCAACTCAACTCGCCGTGTTTGGAGGAGGAGGCTTGCTGCCTATGACCCCAAGAACACCATCTCCACCGTCAAACATGGAGGTGGAAACATGCTTTGGGGGTGTTTTTCTGCTAAGGGGACAGGACAACTTCACCACATCGAAGGGACGATGGAAGGGGCCATGTACCGTCAAATCTTGGGTGAGAACCTCCTTCCCTCAGCCAGGGCATTGAAAATGGGTCGTGGATGGGTATTCCAGCTTGACAATGACCCAAAACACACGGCTAAGGCAACAAAGGAGTGGCTCAAGAAGAAGCACATTAAGGTCCTGGAGTGGCCTAGCCAGTCTCCAGACCTTAATCCCATAGAAAATCTGTGGAGGGAGCTGAAGGTTAGAGTTGCCAAACGTCAGCCTCGAAACCTTAATGACTTGGAGAAGATCTGCAAAGAGTGGGACAAAATCCCTCCTGAGATGTGTGCAAACCTGGTGGCCAACTACAAGAAACGTCTAACCTCTGTGATTGCCAACAAGGGTTTTGCCACCAAGTACTAAGTCATGTTTTGCAGAGGGGTCAAATACTTATTTCCCTCATTAAAATGCAAATCAATTCATAACATTTTTGACATGCGTTTTTCTGGATTTTTTTTGTTATTTTGTCTCTCACTGTTCAAATAAACCTACCATTAAAATTATAGACTGATCATTTGTCAGTGGGCAAACGTACAAAATCAGCAGGGGATCAAATACGTTTTTCCCTCACTCTGTTGGTGTTCTGAAAAATACCGCTTGCAGCCAATCAGTGGCCCAAACTAAATCCCAAGACCTCACCCCAACCATCATTTTATCCGTACATGATTATGGCGGACCCGTTAATACACCCATTTCCGTACCCTGCGAGTCTCGAAATCTAATTGTGATTGGCTGCAACAAATGTTTTTAGGGAAAGCAGTGGTTTATCTACAGTTCGTGCGTGTGCAGAGTGCAAGGACTCCCACACAGGGACATCGGCCAAGGCTCCTTACTCCACCCTGGGAAGGGCAGAGCATTTACCCGATACCCACACTACCACGGCGACAAATAAAGGAGACGTGCAAAGCCGCAGGCAGAACCGTCCTTAAGCACGGAATCTGTCATGTTAGGAAGTGCAGGCGAAAGGGGGAAACGCACAATATTGTCAAGGTGTGACCAGCATGCTCCGTGGCTTTTTGGGCCATAAGCCAGGACTTCTCTTTATTAGGCATGTAACGATTCTTCGATTAAAATGAAACTTTACACTCGTGATAGACGCCTAGAACCGCGAGTGGACTCATCAATTAACGATGTAGCCAAATTAAATGCAAATTTTACCTTCAGGCTCATGGAATTCAATATATAACATGAGACAGAACGTACGAGACAGACGCTACACACAAGACAGGAAACAGAACAAACTGAAATCAGTTCATGAATTGTGACCCCCACTTCATGATGAATCACCAATCACGAAAGGGGTGAAATTGTTACATGCCTAGAAGCTAATGTATAAGCGTGATTCAAGCCTCTACATTCAGTCACCACCGAGTCCCATGTACTGCTCGCATGCAAGTGTCCGCTCTCAGTGTCAAGTCTTTAATTAAGATCTGATGGATAGATGGGACTTCCCCCCCACCCCCCGCCCCAGGGAATCGGCCTGGCCGTGGGCTCATTGCGGCCACCAGCGGGACAGCTCTGACGCAGCGGTGCCGTGGGGTTCCCACGGCGAGCCGAACCGTGGCAGACCTGGTTCAGTGGGTGCCCCGAGCCGGTTCATCACGCACACTAGAAATACGCAAATGTGACCAAATGAAAATCCCAAACTTGAGTCGAAGTCTTAAGGAGCTCGGAATTTCAAACTGGCAGCCGGCTGGTCACGTGGTCCGTGAAGGCTCTTGTTGTGGACTGCCAGAGCTAAGGGCCCACTGAGAGAGATACGATAGTGAGATGACATTGAGATAACACCAATGGATGAGATACCTAGAGACGTGAGGTATATGGATCGGTGGCCACACGTACAGGATATGACGTCGTGACGTCGTGACGTCGTGTGTCCTACCACATGATGTTACCTGACCCATCGGCACACGGCAATTGTAATATGTGGCCCGCTGGAAAGTAGAGATAAAAAAAGACCTACAACAAGAGTTGTACAGCTTCCTGGCACACAGAGAAACCTCAGCGACCATCGCTGCCTGCTCGCTTAAAGAGGCGGACTTCTTTAACCGAGCACGATGACGATTCCTGTTCACATTGGGTTGTACCCGGTGCAAGTACAACGCTCGTTCATCAACCGATCAGCTTCCCCCGATTCCCATCCGCAGCACGTGTATAAAATACAAAGCAAAAAATCGAAAGGCGAAAACACACACACACACATCATGCGCGGCGCCCGAGGCTACATTTTGAACCCATACATCTCAAAACACAGGCGCAATGGAGACACAAAAACAGATACCCCCCACAACAATCGATGTCCGTTGCGAGCGACGACCATGCGTGTGATGCATTGTGGGACAACACCAACGACAGTGCCCGCCGATCAGAACCTTCAGACCCCGTGCTCGTCACATTTGCACAGTTCACAAAAGGTATTCCTTGTACTTTTTTTCCCCACAACTACTTAATCGATTGAACATTCAGCAGTCGAGGAATAACTTAGTGAAGCAACACAGGTACTGCTTTTTTAGTTGCAGTAAAAAAAATGCCGCCTAAAACTTAGGAAAAATCCAACAAATAGAAAGACAAACATAATTTCATTAGTATCGTCTTCAGTGATTGTACTCTTATAAATATTAAACAAATGCGAGTGCACCCAACACTGACACGCGTTTTTTTGTAAAGAACCAATCGTTCAGGATAAATGATAGATCCTATGTTTGCATCACTAAAGCAGCTCCCCTGCAGATATTGAAATTAACTCATTGGGGTGTTTCTCTTTTGGACTGGAAACCCAAGGTCACACGAGTGACCATCCTAGCGAAAGATACTATGTAGGGTTCATACAATTTTTTATTTATTTACACCATGTGTGCTTAAATCAGCCCCGACTGGGACTTGTGGCGAGTGGCGCATTTTGACCAACCGGGGGGCACGGGAGGTCCGTCAGCTCCATGCGAACATGAAAGCCCGAGTTCTTCAAACGTCCAAAGCGAGGACCGGCTGGCTTAAACATTCAGACGCTCCTCCCAGCGAGCCGGGCGGTAAAATGAGCCGAGACCATCGCTCGCTAACGGGGAACTGATAGACCCCCCCCCTCCCCCCCCCCCCCTGAAGGTTTCATGGCCACATGACGACCGTTTCCACGCTCGTAGTACCGCGATGGTTGTTATTTATATTTTGTTGCAGCTAAAAAAAATATATAATTTTTGAGTTCCCTTTTCTGCCCCCCCCCACCCCCAACCACTGCCAGGTGGCGGTGCTGTCAACAAAAAAAAGTTTAACTGAAAAATAGTGGAGCATTTTTACCCAATCTTGCCAGTGCACAAGGTCACATCCCAATGCTTCGAGAGCGTGTGGACGTCGTTTCGTAGAACCGCTGACCCGTGGAGCGCCGCCATCACTTTACAATAACAGGCGCATGCGGGTAGGTGGGGAGGCAAGGGGTGTGTGGAAGTTGTTGTTTCTAGCTTTCGTAGAAATCGTTTGCAAAAAAAAAAATATATAAAGACACGTGCCATTTCCAACTGGATAAGGGGTTAACCTTGACACCCGCCTTGGGGTTGCAAGTTTAACCAAAAAACTAAAACCACAGACACGGCGAAATTTGTATGAAAACCCACATCAAGTCTTTCCAAGGCAATACACGTGCGTGCCCTTTCTGCATCGCAGGCATTGTGCGCCCCCCCCCCCCCCAACTGCTATAACAACCAACGCCCAATATGCATCGCGCGCACACAGTCTTAGCAATTACCCTCATTGTTAAAATATGCGCGGCATAAAATAAAGGGATTTTTTTTTTTGCACGGGCGGAGTTGCTGTATTATGCGACCTGTGTATACTTGCCGTGTTTATTGTATACGAGAGCTACATATATATTATAATTCACAAGTTGTCCGTCCATGTCACGCTCCATCTCCCGAACGTCACGTCGGACAGAAAACATTTATGAAACAACCAAAAAAAACCGTCCTCTTGCCGAGGTCACTTCCGGAACACCGTCCCCACCATTCTGCATTCCCAACACTCTGACCCCGAACTCTCCGGGAGTACACCTCGGAACGTTCAACAGGCCGCCGTTTTCAAAAGATGGTGGTCATCGCCAGGCGCCTCGCGCCACGGTAAGTCCTCGCCTAACGCGTGTTAGCTTTACACGGCGCTCTCCGGGATCGCATCCACTGCGCAGTACGAGGAATTACGACTGTACATTGCTCAAACCTTATGCAGTTAATTAATCATGGCTGCTTGCCAGTAGCCCAGCAGGTACCATTGGGAAACTCCTTGCACCTCCGAGTTGAGATTTCTGTGTCACACGTCAGCGCAATGGACCGGGGTTTGTAATAATGGACGTGTCAAAGGGAGGCATTTTTTCCCATTTCCCCGATTCACGCCTTTCAACTCATCGCATTTTTCTGTGAATGATTTCGCCATTAAAATCTTCTCCGAGACGGCAAACGGCTTGATTCGCTTAATCAAATCACACCCCACCCCCCTCCTCAACGTAGTCGACCGCCAAGTCACGTCAGTGCTTTAGTGAGCGCGAATTCTGCTCGCGGTAACGCTCACGACAAATTACATCCCTTGCACAATATTAACGAAAAGCAAATTTTAGATTTAGAGGCCTATTAGAACGGAAGTTATACCAAATCCACATCGCTTGCGCCGCGCTTAAGCTTTACCCCACGCAAACGTGCGGGCTAATATACAATAGGACGCCATCACTAACAGCGGACAACAAACCTGCTATTATCGGACCGCATGGAGCCGGACATTTATGCGGACATTTGTAGTAGGTTAAGCTCAGGGGACACCTGTGCGGTGGGCAGCAAAAACTCGGTGCTCACCGACAACTCTCTCTCTTTCTCTCCCATGTATCTCGATCATGCCCCCCCCCTCGCCCACACTGGCAAGCAGGTGCCCTGCAAGTGTCCGGAGAGCTCCCACTCGACTCAGCCCACGGCCACCTGAGACAAAAACCGCGCCGTTCCCACAGTCGCCGTGGCCAACCAACGCACAGAACCACATTATCTGACGCACCGCGTGTGCAGTGTTGACATCGTTACGGCACTGTCAGCGCATGCTCAGCACTCGTTGGATGCACAGCACTGAATGTACATGATTAGTATTACACTTACAGACGTCTTACAATTCCCCTGCCCTCTGCATTGCCTAATAGTTCACTGGAAGCCAATGGGGGGCCTCAAAAACCAGAAGAGCATTATGCATACGGAGGAGCACACCACGCGTAAATTCCGCAAGGCGGCATGCTCTGTGCCCACACATTTTTTTTGCAACTTCATCCCGCGCGGAGTTAACGTGAGCACTCTCTCGCAGGAGGGAAAGGCTACCAATGTAGCTCCGCCACAAACTCGTGGCCCAGAGAGCAATTTACCCCGGAGTGTTTGATCGTAGTAATTGGTTGAATTCTGGCCCAAAACGTGCAAAGGGCAATAACAGAGCTTACTCAAGAACATCTCCACGGCTCATTTCGGCGGCGTCAAACCCAACGCTCAGAAGATCAGCGAGCGGGACACCACTAAACCCCAGCCTTGCTAATTCAAAAGGAGTTTTTTTTTTATTAGCATCTCTAAAAGTTCAGGAGCGTTATAATTTTTCACGACGGCCCAGCGATCAGTGCAGAGTTCCCGGGCAGCAACTTGCATTGCAGCTTGCCCCACACCAAATTAAAAGCCAGTGCCCGCTTTGCAAGACCCCTGTAACGAGGTGCACTTCCTGAGTCGCGCGGTGCAGCGAGCTGAGAACGCACGAGGGCCTCCCGGCCCACAAGTCTAAGGGCGGTAAATAAATAAAAGTAAAACAAGCAGCGAGTCAAATCGGGGGGGGGGGGGAGAGGGGGCCAAAGTTTAAGAGCATGGTGCTCTAGATTCTGCGAGTTTACAAACCGAAGGTGCGCGATCGACTGCCAGTACAGGAGCCCAGAAATAACAAGCTGCTGGGAGGTAAAGGTCAAACATGGCTTTGTTTATAGGGTAGTGGCAGGAGTCACTGTAAGCAAATTCCCACCTTCATCACGGCCTCTCTCACGGTTAGCTGGACTCGCCGAGAACGCGCCAGGCAAGCGGCCATCGGTGCGACTGGGCAAGCGCGGCGAGCGAGAGGGAGGCAGGGACAGCGAGGGGCGTGGGGTCGGACCGCAGGCCACGGGCGAGGTCACAGACCGAGTCGTGGCTACCGAGCGGCAAAAACGGGGTCGCATCGTCGTGGTGGTTATGGCAGCGTTGGAGGTAGCCGCTTAGTCAGACACTCTATCCCATCCGTGCGGCGGGGGGGGAAAAAGCATTTTGCGGCCTCCATTCGACGTCAAGTGGGTGCCGCACGTCGGTCGGGTGGCGATCGTCGGACACCTCGAGGGACCGCGGCCACCGCCAAGAGACCTTCAAGATTGCTCTGTGAGCCACTTGTGCAGCGCCACCCGGTTGGTCGCCAGCCAGTGGTGGTTGGCGCGGATCGTGTCGCGAGCCTCTTTGAAGACGCGAAGCTCTCCGCTGCTGTCGCGCAGGCTCGCCACAAACTCCTCCACCTGTGGCCGGCACGAGGATTAGTGTCGCTCGCCAAATTGTTGGGTCAGACGCATCACGACAGCACGCAGCACGATCACAAGTATACCAACCCGTATGAGTTGCATTAATTGATGATGCAGAACAAAAAAACAGTTCAAGACTATTATATTGAGTCGTAAAAAAAATTGGGTAAGGCCACATAAGGATCGGACCCACGTTATGCAGCCAAATTAAATTGTGATGTGGTGTACAAGCGTTTAACGCTCAAGTTATTACCGTTTTAGCTCACGGGTGAGTTGAAATACAATTCTCACTACCGATTAAATACGTTTCAGTTAAAAAAATATTGTCAAGCATCTTCAGAACAAGATTGAGAACGTCAGGATATGCAGGAAGTCATTATAACCACGTCACCTAACCTGTTATTTTTAATATAGAAACGTTAGCTGTGTGTTCGAGGCTGTCCGAAATTAAGGCTAAAGCTTCGTTCATGAGAAAACTTAAAATTCATCACTTGATATGGCTCTCCAGTGAGATCATTGTGACATCTCACCAACAAGTGACAATAAAACCTCGATGTAGCACCTGGCGGTCCTTCTAAAGCCTTTTTTTTCCCCCCAAAAACAAAGCTCCAGACTCATATTACAAAACCTGGCGACCCCGCAGCCGAGACACGTACCATCAAGTGCTGTTTGTTGCGAAGTTGCATCGCCCCTTTAACTGCTAGGATAAGTGAACGGCACAATGCATGCATTGCAAAGCACTTTTAAGGATGCGCTCAAACCGAGGGGACCGGTAACAAGGCTCGCTTGGTGGCGACGGTAAATGTTTGCGTCTCAACCGCTGCATTGTCGCGCGGCATCCCAGTCGCGTCTCCGTGCAGAGCGCCCACCTGGTCGAGGTGGTACGTGCTGGAGAATCCCGAGGTCACCGACATCACCATGTTAGAGAGCGCGAAGGAGCCCAAGGAAAACCTGTGCAAGCCAGCAGACCCGCCCTGGTTATTACCGCGGCGAATATCAAATAAAAATACTACGCGCCGTAAATTGCACAGCAGACACCGCCAACCGCAAGAAATGAAGACGTGACGCAAGTCTCTCATTGCTGCAGTTGGGAGGAGAACGTCGACATCATGTGACCACACCGCCCCGAGCTACCAAGATTCTCTCCGCGAGTCACTTCTGCTCTGGTTTACTCCCACGTGCGGTTCTGGTGGTGGTGGTGGTAGTGGTGGTGGTGGTGGTGCTCATAAACTGCAGTGGCCACGGTGGTGGCTAAAGCGAGCGACAACAATCGTGCTGCTGGTGGTCAAGAGGGGTGACCCCCAGCGGTGGCCGACCCCCAGCGGTGGCCATCAAGGCTACGGTGGGAAAGGCAACGCCACCGATGGTTGTGGTGGCAATAGTGGCGGCGGCGGTAGAGGTGGTGATAGTGGAATCGGGGATCACGGTGTCGTACTTCTCCACGAGCAGGCTCCATCTCTTCCTCAGGAAGTCCCAGGTGATTAGTCGCCCGGTCCAGGAGGTGCGCGCCATCACGCCCACAATGCGCGGAAGCTCCTGGCTCCTGACCTCAACGCCGGCCATCGCATTCTCCAGCAGACTGTAGAAGCGCAGAACAATCCGCCACAACTCTTTGTACTGGCCATACCAGCCTTGGTAGCTGCTCGCAAACAGCACGTCCCCTGAAAGTCTATACATCCGAACTAAAACTAAAAACATTTTTTTTTATTTTACCAGGTAAGGCCCACTGAGCTGCATGGTTCTTTTTCAGAAGTAACCTGGCCACAAATGGAAGCTCAAAGTGGCTTTTCATGTGGAAATGTATAGCAGCTAAATACTCTAAATGCATGTTTCCGGAGGACCCAGAGAAAAATCCACGCAATCATGGGGAGACTCCAAATATACAGGCGTCAGAATCATGATCGAACCCACGATCTCCTGCATACCAGGCGAGACACATCTTGCCATGGGAGGTAAATCTGTCTGTGGTTGTGGAATTTTTATTTTGGTGACTGTTGTGGTTGTGCAATATTTGTCTGTCCATGGTCGTGGCTATGCCACCTCCACTGCTGGTCCTCGTCGCTGGTGCTCGCCAGTGCTTCCAGGTACTTGGCTTGCTCTGTGCTGGACTTGGCTCTGTGGTAGTGCTCCTGCACGCTGTCCCACGTGGGCCGGTCTCCGTCACGCACCGCCACCCGCAGCACCGTGCTCATCAGGTCCGCCGACAGGCTGCATGCACACAGCGGCACTCCCGTCAACGTCAGCGGAAAAACTATCCGTTACCAAGCTGAGACGATGTCACCAAAATGTGCCAGGCTAGGTGCGCTATGCTTGCACTGGGAGTAGCCAAGGATTCAAGTAACTGACCCAAACGGCTCGAGGCATATACACAGGGCTGACAGGCGGATACAAGATAAGCACTGTACGCCAACTTGCAATGTTTTAGCCGCCCGACGCTCTACTCATTGCTGCGCATGTCGCTTCTAGGCCTCTTGTTGCTGGCTGCCACCAGTTGACCAGTAGGGTCATCTGTGATCCTCCAAAAAATGCCCTTAAAGCCAGTCCTCACCTATAATACTACCCATGTATCGCACAGGACTTGAGAAAGGTCGTCCCCCTCTTATTTGCGTGAAAATAAGTAATATTTAAAAAAAAGCAGTCATCATCAGGTGTGAAAACCACAGCAAGAACATTTGAAGAAAGTGGCGTTTTTTTAACGTCAGCACCATGGAGAGCGACTTGACAGTTATTCAGATGGACGAGTCCATCTATGTTCGGAAAAGAGGAGGGAGACGAAAAATAATGGATGCGGTCTGAAAGCCACCGTAAACGTGACCAATCAATTAAGACCCGAAATGGTTTATCAAATTCTTACAATGATTACCAAGCCAGAATCCATCTTCTCGGTTGAAATTGTCTCTGTGTTTGTATATGTGGATAGCCTCATGAACGAATCTCTCACGGTAGCCAGATGGCTTGCAAAGAACCTCTGTCTTGGAGAAGTCAATGTCATGTGAGCCTACTGAATTATAACAGTGATCTGCCACGGCCGAGGTGTTGGTCCTACCGTGTTTCAGGTCTGCTTTGTGTTCACGAATGCGGTCCAAGACATGTCGTTTGGTTTCTCCAATGTAACTACTGCCACAGAGGCAACTTAGTTTGTAGACGCCAGGGTACTGTATGTCCGAAATCACATCTTTTACAGACGGAACCAGATTACGGATTTTATGTAATGGAAAAAAAACGCCACTTTTTTCAAATGTTCTTGCTGTGGTTTTCACACCTGATGAGGATTGCTTATGTTGCAGTCGAAACGTCGTGAGAATTTTATTGTTTTATAATTTTATTGTGTCCCTTCTACGTGACTTTACCGAAAGAACCAAGAATATGAATCCCTGCAGTCACGAAAGCTTTAAATCAAAATTTAACACGCTTTTATCAAATGTACCGTACTAGTAATGGCAGAACTCCACGACTCCAGGAAGTGGCCCCGAAGCTTGCCATAACGTAAGGGGACCGTGGCCAATCACAGCCAACGTCAGTTGACCGTGGACAATTAGACCCAAGCCGAAACATAACATGTAAAAAATAATGTAAAAAAAAATATATTTTTTATTTTTTATGATAGACTATAGTATTGTCATCAGTATGACATAAGTATACCAAGTTTGCAGTCGATACCACATTGAGTAGTGGGTTAAAACTGAGTTATAAGATTTGTGGATACAACAACGACAACAGACGGAGTAAGTGAAAAGAAAGCGAGTAAAAAGACGAGGTTTTTGGCGAACGGGAAGAGAACCCGGAGGGGTCCTCACCTCTCCGAGGCACTCCACTGCAAGTACGCAACGTTTGCCCTGTTGAGGCACTTTTCGGAGCGATACGCGCACAGCACCGACACGAGCAAGGCGTCCAGAGAGCGCTGGGGCACCGTGACCTCCTCGCTAGACTTGTTCCAGGGCAGCCGCGGCAGCAGCTCCTCTCCCAGCTTCACGATGTGCTTCTGTCTCACGCACAACAACAGCAGCAGCAGCCGCCGCCATTCACGACTGAGTGGTGGTGACATCACCACGGCGCTTATGCCGGGCCAGATACACTTTGAGGCCATGTGAAGTGTTAAAGGATCGCCGACAGGTTACGGGACAGACCCAGGTGCCACTAATCGACTGACAGAGATGATTGGCAGATGCACCAGCTGTGCCCCATACTTTGACAACTTGCTACATTTTAGCTGCCCGGCGCTCCGCTCGTTGTTGTGAGCGTTTCTTCTTTGCCCTCCGTTGTTGTTGGAGGGCGACTGCCTCCAACTGTCCAATAGCGTCCTTCACTAGCCTCCTAGAGATCGATCTTGATACTGCTGGTACCAGTGTTTGGCAAGTCCATTCAGCTCCACATCCTCCTAAACTGCATCAGTCCATCTCTTTTCAAACCGTTTAGCCACCTCGAGCTCGCCAAACAGATGCTGGATAGGCATGTGGTGGTTGGGCATGCAGGCTACATGATCTAGCCAATACAGCCTTGCCTTTGGGAGGAGCTCCCCAATGGGAATGTGTCCAGATCTCTCCAGGATTTGTGAGCTCCTCACACAATCCAGCCTGGTTAAACCCAGGATGGAACGTAGGCAGGCCAGTCCGAATGCTTCTAACCGGCGCGCAGATGTTCCATTAGAGGGGTCCACGTTTGGAAAGAATAGAGAAGGGAGGGAATGACTGGCTGAGAAGGCCCGAAGCTTCGTGTGGAGTGACATATTAGGTAGCTTCCACACAGCGTTACGCAAACAAATGTCTCACTCAGAGACACCTCCGATTAGCACGGTTGGCTACATATGGTGCAAAAGAAGTTCAATATGCATACAGACGCACGACAAAAAGTGTCAACGCTAGAGAGGAGGAGTCTGCAGAGGGAAATGGTCTGGTTAGGAGCTTGTCATTCTCATTGTCCCGTCGGTGTCACGGGACAAAGAATCCCCTTGGGAAGGGTCGCAGAGCAGCGCGACACTCTCCACGTTCGACTACATCATCCTAAAGGAATTTATATAGCGCCTTATTCAAGGCACTTTACACAGAATTAACAATGGTACATATTAATGTAATGGCAGAGACGAGGTGAATGAAATAGATGATAGGAAGCAATGGGGCTGATCTGTGGTGCGTGAATTTGGCGAACGTTAAATTGATGGCAGCAAATGATGATGAATGGATTGAATGAATGGGTTAATGAGTGCTAGCCATATGATAGGAATATGAAGAGGGAACAGCAACGGTGGAGGGGTCGCGGGGTGAACTGGGCGAACAATAAGTGAGTTTTGAGGGCGGAGCGAAAACTAGTGAGCGAAGGTGACCGCTTAATGTGGAGGGGAAGTTTATGCCAGTGAAGGGGGGCAAGAGAAAAAGAGCGAAAGCGTGGATTGGGCGAAAGGAGGAGGAGTAGAGAGAGCAGAGAATGAGAAAGAAGAGGGCACGCAGGCGACATAGAAAGATACAAGAGTGGCATGATATGGTGGGGCCAGGCCATGAAGGCATTTGTAGACCAGTGTGAGGAATTTGAATAGGCAACGGTAGTACATAGGGAGCCAGTGCAATTGCACAAGGAGGGTCAAGGTATGGGAATTATAGGGAAGGTTGAATATGATGAGCTACTTCTGAGATCCATTTAAATTATCTCTGGTCCACACAGTAGTTGATCTCAAGGGCTCTACCACTGAAAGAAAATGTTGGCCGAGAGACAGTCAAACCGATATTATAATACTCAAAGCTGGCATTTTGACTCATTAAACAACGAAACTCACATTTAATGTGACAAATGTTTTTATGAGACACTCAACGGCGACTGGGAAGACACCACCACCTCACTATACTAGCAGACTGAATCCTGGACTCAAAGGCAAGATTCACAGCAGTGCAAGCTCAGCGCTCTGACCTCTGACCGACAAGATGAGACGCGTCTGTCTTTTTGGTTGTGCCCTGCGTCAAAGGGGGACCCATCACTGCACAGATCCGGGCAGAAAATCCCGGTGGCTCAGTAGCTCTGACCTCGCGAGTCCTCCTGCTCCCCTCTCAGGAGATCCCAGCTGCTTCTACTTACATTGGCTATCACAGGCCCATATCCAAAGTCACCCCGGGCCACTCGATCGCTACTTCATTAAGTTCAGACAGCTTTCTAATTCCACTTTCTTTTCATCGTAAGGGATAGTCCTCAACCATGTGGACCGGCTGCCTATTGGGCAGCCGCGCAGTTACACGTAGCCGGGGTGGCACACAAACCGTGACAATGCCAGATCGACATGCCGCAGCGCCCCCCCCCCCCCACATAGCCACACACCTGCCTGGTCCAAGGCAACGTGGACAACTGGTGCCCACATACACTTGTGACACACGGGCTAGCGGAGGTGTAAACGCAGTCAGATCCCAGTGGAACCCAGCAGCCTGGGTGCGGCCGGCTCCAAACCTGCAGCAGCTGGACGTCATGGGCGTAGGGGGAGAGGATGAGCAGCACTCGGTCCAGGTGCATCAGCGCCACCTTCCACGGAGTGACGCTCGTTTCGTTGGGGAGGAAGGACAGCAGCGGCATAGCATCTTCGACATCTACTCTGCCAACGCTGAAACGCGGGGGACAAAGAACAAAGCTCCAACGAGAGAGGGGCAGGAACGCGCGTCATTTCCCCTTTAGAGATATTGCAACATGAGCAAACATGAACACTTAAGTTTTAGCAGCCGATATAATGATCTTTAAGTGGCCTAACAAAAATAAAAATCTATTTATGAATCTTTATTGACACTTAAATAGATGCTCTTTCACCACCTACCTCCTTTTGTCAGAAAAAGTAACTTTAAAAAGTTGGTGCTTGTCGATGGAGCTTTATTAACCGCTTAGCAATTTTAAAAGTGAACATCAGGCTTTATTATTTACAGTTTTATACGCTCATATTTTCATCGATTCGGTCGTATACTTTATAACCGAGAACCAAATCACCTGGGTGCTCCCGATCTCATCAGATCCTGGAAGCTAAGCAGGATTCAGCCTGGATATTTGCTTAGGAAGGGGAAACCGCAGTGTATAAGATAGCTGAAGTTGGCTAATGCAAGGATACGGCGTGAGCAGAAGGCACTGCAGCAAGAAACAATTGTAGGTTCATTAATTCCGTGCTACATCGATGCTCCTTGCCTCCATCAATCCGCACTGACCGGCGTGGTGAAGTACAGTTTAATAGGCTCCGCAACCCGCAAGAACGTAGGGGAGAGGCCCTCAATTGGCAGTGGCTGGCAGAAGATTGACACCATTTACAACAAGGTGGTAGCCCGGTGTTTTTACAAGGGAGACACCTTGGTAAAACACTAAAGCAAACATGTGTATAAAAAACAGCAAGAGTGTATAAATCTAACATTGTACAATAACTTTCGGCAAACATAATCATCACAATATACTTATGTTAAACTTGAGATTTCAGTCGTATGCTTTGTATTGAGCTATAAGGTAGTGTTCACCCATGATAAATGTTACCAATGTTGAACGATCCCTCTGTCATATGTATTGACAAACCGGCCAGGTGGCTCAGTGCAAGAGCACAGGGCTCACACAACAAACGGTTGCGAGTTCAATCCTGGTTGAGGATTGACCAAATCCATCATCGCTCCGGTGTCCATAAAATGGGTACCACTTTGCATGGGGAATTCAAGCAGTGTCTCGAAGCACATTTCAGCAAGAAATATTTTTTTACTGGAAAACCAGTATTTAAACATCTTGTGAAGCCATTTCACACCGGACAGAGGGGGCACTGACGATGATGAATTTCACAGGTAGTTTATAGCTGTCAGGGCCCAGCGTCATTACCCCACCATAGTCCCAGGATATCAACACCACTACCAAAGTTAAGAGCTCCCGTATCGCCTTTAACAGACTGATGAGTAAAGTGGTGTTTTGCGAGCACCTATGAAGGCCGGCACGGCACACGAGGGGGTGGATGACCAGCACCACACCAGGGCTGCAATTATCTCCACAATGCTTACACCATACCAGGTACTCGTATCAAGCTGAGGGGACCTAGGGGAGGCCTGGGCCCAGTTCAGATATCCGTCACCAATGTTGGCCGTAAGCACGAATCAAACTCGGGCCGTCGGGTTCTAAGCGCAGTGTGCCAACCAATGCACCACCGCTCCGCACAAAAAAATCAAAGTCACGGTGAGAGCCTCACTTGAGGAGGTAGAAGACATCATTCAGGAGGTTGGCACGGTCTGCGGGGGAAAGGAAGCTCTTCGAGGTTGTCAGTTTATTGGCGAAGGTGGCCCAGCCGTCCTTCCCGTAGTCCACCACGTAGAAGCCCGTCATGTTCGTGTTGGCCTTTATCCACTCTGTCGACTTCGTCACCGCTATATCTCCTGTTGGGGGGGGGGGGGCGGCAATATAGGTGCACAAATGTGGTGTGTGCGAGAGACAGAGCATAAGGGATTCAACAAAAAGTATGAATCGAAGGGGACATATTTAGGTGGTAGACAGGAAGCCATTCCACATTTATAAACCTTTGTACATGTACGATCCTTTGTAAAAAAACATTGCTGGATGAGGGTCTCCTCTCCCCCGTAATGCGGGTTAAATGGGGGATAGCTGACCATACTTGACCACTCTTGTCAGTTTGGGTTGTGAAGACGGGGAGAGAGAGAGGCAGGAGTTGAGAAGTACAGCAATGAATGTTGCTGTACTGCCCTCTCCCGGCCACCACGTATCCCCGTAGCCCTATCCTGCCTGGGCATGTGGTCATCCACCAAAGCACTATCCAGGCCCCTACCTGCTTGGCTTCCAATGTCTGATCCGGTTGAGCGTATTCCATGTAACATTTGTTGAAAGTTCTATGTAAGGTTTACTGCACAACTAAAACAAAAAAAACACACAATGTAGCTGGCATTGGTTAAAATTCATCCAAAATTCGAATTACTCAATCGGGATTTTACACAAAGCAACATCGCCCCTTCCCTACTGTGAAAACTTAGGCAGGACCCTCCTGAAAAAGTCTTGAGACTCGGCGAGGACTTTCCTGAGTAACACAAGCGTCATGCTGAACTATGGGCGAAAGCACAAAAGGGCATGCCACTCACTAAGGCAAGCTTGGGGAAGATGAGGCAAGGCTTCAGGATGATATCGGTTTTCGCACCCACATGTGGCGTGGCTGGTCACATCAAATGGCCTCAACAGAATAATGAACGCGTCGTTCACAGCCCTCTCGCATAAACCAACATAAAGTGAGTGGCGCTGACAGAGCAAACAGAACCTTGTTTATCCGTGATGAGCTTGCTTTGCGAGGTTGAGTTGTCGCTGGTGATGAAGGTGAGTGGGATTTGCCACAGGCTGCTGTTCAAACAGACAAGCGTAACAAATGCATGACAACATTGCACACTTAGGGCCCTCTTGGTCAATCCACTACGAGATCAGGGTTTCCCCCACACCGTGTGGGTCATGGGTGTTATTTAACCGTAGTTTACTGTCCTGGTTAGTACGGGTTGGTGAAGGCGTGAAGTATATATATTGGAAGCATGGTACAGCACAACCATTAATTTTTCTGCACTGTGCTCTGATGACAACGTAGCCCCGCAGCAGCCCATGATGCCCGTTCTTGAACAGTGATAGCCCATCCGAGCGTTATCCAGGCTCAACCTCGCACAGCTGCCCGAGATGCAATGCTTTCCGAGTAATTTGATCTTATTCGTGACAACTTTACAGAGCAACAAAGCTCTCCCATGCAGGGGGCACAGTTGGGGGATGTACCGTGCGAAAGTTGTCCAACATACAGCACACAAAGAAGCAGCTAAGGCTGCGACTGCACAAGAGGGCGCGGTGTGGCAAGAACCATACCCGGCTGCCTTTGTCCCCCTAGAGTTGATGTTCAGACAAGATCAGGTTCTTATTTAAGATTGAGTCGACTAAACAGGGCCTCAGGATATCGCCAGATACCACTGACTACTACTGATGTTGGTCATGGCTTGGAATTAAACAATCAACTAGAATCATAGCCTAGTGCAAGAACCACTGTGCCACGGTTTCCCCAACAGCTGTTGCAACTGCATGACAATAACAAACACACACTCTACACGTGGTTACTTGCACGGGTGTCGAATTACAGCATGCGAAGCAGAACCTGACAATCACAAACAAGCATCGTTTGAGATGTACGTTGAAACTTATTTTGTACCGTACGTAGCCAACCGCGCTAATTGGAGGTGCTTATAGTTGGGAAAAACACTTTAAAATGTGGCGAAGAAAACATGATGAAAGTAGCATTGTAAGATTCCTCTGCAGTGGGAAACGCCGGCCAGAAGTGAGAAAAGATGGTAAAAGTTGCTCTACATGTTTCAGACAGAGTAAAAACGCAAGCTTCTCTGTCCTTCATTAGGAGCGGAGACCCTGATAAAGTTCCTAATTGTTCTTTTACAGCAGGCTCGGGTGTGAAATATAAAACGAGGCCACTTCATTGGCAGGCCAATCTGGCGATGCCCGAATTGCCTCGATCCACCAGGTGTCGTTGGCTGCTGCAAAGCAAACCTCAAGGAGTGGAGCTACTCTGACCAGGCCCAGAACACCAAATTCCTCTACCTCCTCTACTCCAGCGTCATCTGTTAAGGCCTCAAACACCTGGAGTATCTTATCTCCTGTTTTGACGCAACTGCAATCATACACCGGTCAACCCCTTATCAGTGCCTACATTATTAGAGACCAATTAAGACATTATTTGTCATGCCGTGCCCTTATACATCTCAACATCCATCCTACAAAGTCCCACCAAAAGGGAGAAACACAAATAAATAGACTAAACAGGCAAATCGTAAGATACATACCGCTGCCACATGCTGTATATTTTTACCTTGGTGTGATAGATGTTTCTGCAGGCTCGATGGGAAACGGCTCTTGCTTGTAGGTGATCTTTAATTCCTTGTCGACGGCGGTGAGCGTGAGCAGTGGGAAGCCGCGTTGCCTCACCCAGGTCCCCATCACCTCTGTCACATTGACGGAGTGCCCCAAATGCTGCTGTGCGCTCTGCACTCGCACGGCGGATACAGGCGTGCGCACTCATCAAACAGTCGATATTTATTTTACGTGCCAATATCGCCCTCTTTCACGAAGGTGCGGGACACCATTAGAACCCACGATTCCCGATTTAACATTGTCCTACGAAAGACAAGAGATCACTGTACAACAATTATCAAACAGGAAAGGCACAACGTGGGACTGTGTTCCAACATTACGAGCATTTCTTTCGTCACGGGAAAAAAGGTTTCGTGTTGTTCACTTACGTCAACTAATTGTGATATTCTCAGAATGTTTCATGCAAGTTTTATCAGCTGATGGGGATGACTGTTAGCCCCGAGTGGATGCTAAAGTGAATCATGTGCCCCCACAGGCCATGACAGACTTAAGTGAGCCTTAAAAAAATCCTGTTTCTTAGCAAGACTCCTGCCAACACTGCTGCAGGAGAAACGATAAGAATAATAAAGTAATTTACCAATCGAGCAAAAACCGTGCTGAGTAACAAACTCTTTCCTAGGAAGAATTTTCACCTCAGATCAGCACGGTTAGCTATGTATGTTCAACATACATAGGGATGTTTGGAAATGTTTGTTTTTTAAAGAGTGTTTAGCCTGTGGGTAGAATTGCAGAGCACCCAGCAGAGAAAACTCACAAACAGGAGAGGGATAACAACACTCCAATATTCTTTGGTTCTTTCGGTAAAGTCATGTAGAATGAGAATAAAATAATAAATTGATAAAATAAAATAACACAATAATATTCTCACGACGTTTCGGCCACAACACAAGCGGCCTTCATCAGGTGAAGGGACGAGACTGTCTGGAGGACAGCGCTGGAGTGAAAAAGCCACGCTCAGATCACGACCTTTAAGCTGTGTGAGAAGAAACAAAGCGCCTTGACAAAGGAATTAGCATATAATTTAGCATTGAAATGGCTGAGTGATTAGCTTGTGACTGGTCACAGAAATGGCTATGTTAAAGCATACACATCCGCAAAGGCACCCCTTGACAAAGGAATTAGCATAGAATTTAGCATTGAAATAGCTAAGTTAAAGTATACACATCTGCAGAGGCACCCCTTGACAAAGGAATTAGCATAGAATTTAGGATTGAAATAGCTGAGTGATTAGCTTGTAACTGGTCACAGAAATAGCTATGTTAAAGTCAGAGCATATACATTCACCGAGGCACCTAGTACAAATCAAACTGGAGAATTTAGCATTGAAATAACTAGGCGAATTTAGCATTGAAATAACTGAGTGATTAGCTTGTGACTGGTCACAGAAATGGCTATGTTGAAGTCAAGGCCTACACATCTGAGCTATTCACAGTAACTGGGTATACAATACAATATATAATGAATAGCATATAGTGAACCAATAAAAAAACTAAAATATAAATTACCTGAATGTTATCAATAAACTCTATATTCTCCAATCAGCTAAGTTACCAACAATAAGTCGTTATATATCACAATGCTATATGGCGAAAAAATGGGTGGATTCTTACCCTCAACTTTAGCTACGGGCCCCGTTCAGACGGACGAGTTCATCCATGGTCGGAACAGAGGAGGGGGAGAGAGACAGCTGCGAGGCGCTGTTATACTCCATGTTGTAAACCATACCATTAACCGTGGTGTGAGAGGTATTAAGAGTCAATGCCAGCAAAAGAGCTGCGGTCTGAAGGTCATCGTAAAATACAATTAATTTAGAACGGAAATGGTTTAAAACATATTTCCAATGGTTACTAAGCCAGTACTAAGCCAGTAACCAGTGGAAAGATGTTTTAAACCATTTCCGTTCTTAATTAATTGTATTTTACGATGACCTTTGGACCGCAGCTCTTTCGCTGGCATTGACTCTTAATACCTCTCACACCACGGTTAATGGTGTGGTTTACAACATGGAGTATAACAGCGCCTCACAGCTGTCTCTCTCCCCCTCCTCTTCCGACCATGGATGAACTCGTCCGTCTGAACGGGACCCGTAGCTATCTGTGTTGCTAAAGTTGAGGGTAAGAATCCACCCATTTTTTCGCCATATAGCATTGTGATATATAACGACTTATTGTTGGTAGCTTAGCTGATTGGAGAATATAGAGTTTATTGATAACATTGAGGTAATTTATATTTTAGTTTTTTTATTGGTTCACTATATAGTATTCATTATATATTGTATTGCATACCCAGTTACTGTGAATAGCTCAGATGTGTAGGCCTTGACTTCAACATAGCCATTTCTGTGACCAGTAATAAGCTAATCACTCAGTTATTTCAATGCTAAATTCGCCTAGTTGTTTCAATGCTAAATTTTCCTGTTTGATTTGTACTAGGTGCCTCGGTGAATGTATATACTCTGACTTTAACATAGCTATTTCTGTGACCAGTTACAAGCTAATCACTCAGCTATTTCAATCCTAAATTCTATGCTAATTCCTTTGTCAAGGGGTGCCTCTGCGGATGTGTATACTTTAACTTAGCTATTTCAATGCTAAATTCTATACTAATTCCTTTGTCAAGGGGTGCCTTTGCGGATGTGTATGCTTTAACTTTAACATAGCCATTTCTGTGACCAGTCACAAGCTAATCACTCAGCCATTTCAATGCTAAATTATATGCTAATTCCTTTGTCAAGGCGCTTTGTTTCTTCTCACACAGCTTAAAGGTCGTGATCTGAGCGTGGCTTTTTCACTCCAGCGCTGTCCTCCAGACAGTCTCGTCCCTTCACCTGATGAAGGCCGCTTGTGTTGTGGCCGAAACGTCGTGAGAATATTATTGTGTTATTTTATTTTATCAATTTATTATTTTATTCTCATTCTACGTGACTTTACCGAAAGAACCAAAGAAGATGAATCCTTGCAGTCACGAAAGCCTTATATCGAAACACTCCAATGGACACAGAGACACTCACAACCCCACCTACTGTACTGCCAACTCAGGGGCCCACCGGCAACCGCCCCAGCATGTCAGGAAGTTCCACAAATCTGCCTGGCCGAAACGTCGTGATTTTTGTTGTTTTATTTTTTACCTACGTGACTTTACCAAATAGAACCAAAGAGTATGGATCCTTGCAGTCACAAAAGCTTTAAATCTAGAATGGATTCACCGACTCTCCCCTGGCAAGAGCGCCAGACCACGGGCACACACCACCACTACGAAGTTTACGGCTCATGGTCAACATCCACAACGTATATATCTGAACTCGTGGATCTCTCCTAGGTCAACTTGGCCTTAAATAAGTACCTGGTACGGCAAATAAACATCACCACTGGGAAGGCAAAGGCAGTTGGGCGTGGTCTGGGCTACCCACAAATGTGTGCTGTGCCGGCCTTCAAAGGTGCTACTCACTAAGATCACTTGCCCCAAGAGTCTGTTAAGGCTATACGGGGGATCCTTGTCTATTGCGCTGTAATTGCACTGTGCGGTGGCTTTGCTGTGCTGCAGGCGTGCATAGTTGGCGTTCGGCTGCGAGCGTTGCCGCACAAGCTCACGGCGTCGTCACGCCGCCAACCCCTTGCGCCTAACCTGCGTCAAGGACTCCCAGAGGTCGTCAGTGTGCGCGTTGCCGTAGCTGTGCACGAGCAGGTAGTCCCGTATGCCGTCGACGAAGACGGCGGGCGTCAGAAACGTGCGCAGCATGTTCAGCACGCTCGCCCCCTGCACACGCGCGGGGTGGGGGCGCAAGTGGCGTGGGTCCGGAGGAACGCTCATCAGACGATGGTTCGCGACTACCGCGCGGGTGTGCACGGCGCCACAACCGGAAGGTGGTCCCCCACGTGGAGGGACGCTGAGATTCGACTCGACGCTCACGAGCGTCGCGAGGATGGGAAAGCAGGCGTGCCTTCAGCTGCATGTTGTACAGCAGAAAGCAAAAGAATGCAAACCAAGTCGGATTGCGTGCGGTTCAGATGCAGGCAGTTCAAGAGTTTGGATTATCAGTACTTTGTATTACTCTTTGTAATAATCTAAGCAAAATGATGTAAATAATGAAAATCATAAACACATGGATGTGTCTTATTTGCATTGAACAGTTTATTATCATATTCTTTGGTTCTTTCGGTAAAGTCACGTTGATAGAAAAATAATAATAAAAATGATAAATATAAAACAAAAACCACGACGTTTCGATCACAACACAAGCGATCGCCCTGCAGGAGGAAGGACGATCGCTTAATTTGTATTCACTTTATTTTTTTATTTTTTTCTATTTACGTGACTTTACCGAAAGCACCAAACAATACAAATGTCTGCAGTCACGAAAGTTAAGTCAAAACTTGTTATCTTCCCTTTAAAAATGAAGAATCAATTTGCACGCTTCAATCTTGAATAACTGTTTAGATCTCTTGGAGGCAGCACCGACTCTCTCCCTCCTGGTGTCTCCCCTCCCTACCACTCCACACTGCTCTAATGTTCAATGAACAAGGACCATTTCCTGAAACGTCATCTTTTTTTTTCAAGTCAGTGTTATTGACGAATGAGTCGAGGTTTATTCTGCTCTCACGACACCGATCGTGAGCCTCACACCCCGATCTATCCACCAGCTGTGGCACAAAGCACATGACAAGCAACGATACATCGATCAATCAATTAAAATTGATTATTTAAACTCAAGATATGCGAGTGTGGGTATCAATTACTTACGATTCATACAAATGATACGTGAATGTTACAATTATGTTGGTAGAACAGAACTGTATCCACGTAAATTACCGTTCCTCGAAAACTACTGTGAACCAAAATAACGGTTAAAAGAATATAGGAATTACATGTTGAAATCACTGAATCTGCAAGCGAGCTGTTTTCACTGCCAAAACAGAAAATGTAATGTAAACAAAGCCAGTCGAGGTCTAAACGCTCATAAATGGACGTCACCGATTGGCTGAGGCAATGCTTAATTCAGCACTCGGATTCACCGAAATTGGCAGCCGCTTCTCAAAGAGAGCTATAAAGCTCAGTGGGCCTTACCTGGTAAAATAAAAAATAGTTGAGTTTTTTTAAGGGACGGGATTAGGGCGAGAACGGTACGAATGCGGTAGGGGGCATGGCACCTTGTTGTAGGAGACGGAGTCAAACATCTCTCCGATCTGCATGGTGCCGACGGCCGCGGATGAGATGGCGTGCGAGGAAGGAAGCGAGTCCTGGGTCAGAGCTTCCATCACAACCTCCGTGAGGAAGACGTCCATCTGCAAGCGCAGGGCACAGAGGAGGACAGCTGCGGTTATACTCGGTGCCGCATGCTCGAACGTGTACATGGAATGCACCGTAAAGAACAGGCACTGAGCACATCCAGCGGATGCATGTTGTATGTATTTTGAACTTCTTTAGCACCGTACGTAGCCAACTGTGCTAATCGTAGGTGCCGGGGAAGGACAAAAAACGAAACACAAAAAGCTGTTCTGAAGACATTTTTAATCAAAATTAAAAGTGCATAGCTCCAGTGGCTTCCTAATGTCGGAAGGAAGAGCATTCCAGACGGTCTTTGTTCGATGGCTAGCCAAAAGCCGTTGTGACCGGAGTTCGCGTGATGGTGTATGCTTCTTGACGAGATCAGCAAAGTATGGTGGTTAATTTGTGGCAAGCACTTTGTGTGTAATGAGTGCGACCTTGTCATGTATTCATTCGGCAAACGGAAGCCAATGCAGCTCGGGGAGCACTGGACGCCACTACGCACAACTGCTGCACACCAACACCACCACCACCACAGTAAAATTACAGCCCACACGCACACAGACACCACCCCCCCCCCCCACCCCCGGTGGACACTCGCACACAAAGAGGTCCCCGCGGGGGGAGCATGAGCCCCCGTTCTGGCACGGGGATGCAGCACCAAATACAAAGATCCCCGTGTAGCCTTAACAGACTGTTGGGGTAAGTGCTGTTTGCGAGCACCTATGAAGGCCGGCATGGTACACGAGGGAGTGGGGTGGCCCGGACCACAGCCTTCGTCTCCCCAGTGCCAATATTTACACACCACACCAGGTACTCATGAAAGGCAGAATCGACCTCGCAGAGATCACGGGTACAGACATATACGTCATGGACATTGGCCATGAGCGGCAAACGAAGTCGGGTCGCCGGGTTCGTAGGGCAGTGCACTAACCACTACAGTACAAAGACATCACACACACACATACTACCAGACACACAACAACCTATATATATATCTATCGGACTTTTTTTCCAATATAAAAATTATTGAAAAAATAATTGGCTTTACCCTTTCTGCCATTAACACAGGAGGTGATAAAATGTTCAAAAACCAAATCGATATCCATTGCAAGGCATCAAGTCTGCATTAACACACATACTTGTGACAAAACATGCAAACAAACATGCTCTGATAATTGATGCATTGTCTTTTAAATTGATTGGCCTTAAGTGTCAGACCAGAGGACGCCAACAGGCGAACAGTAGAAAGACAATGCAAGGATCAGCGAGCGCATTTATAGCTCGGGTTGAGCAGTCTCTGGAACTTTTTTGCCAGTATCAAAATTATGGAACAATAAGAATAGGCGTTACCCTTTGTAGCACCAAAACACCAAATCAGTTTAAATGCATGTTTGTTTGCATGCTTTGCCACAAGTATGTATGGCTAATGCAGACTCGTTGCCTTGCAAAAGCTATCTATTTGGTGTTTGAATATCATAACACTTCGTGTTCCATTGTTTCATCGTAAGTATTAAAGCGTTAATCTCTCGGGTTGAGCAGTTGGTGGAGGTCAATCAGTTTCAAAGACAATGCAACAACCTTTGCAGTCTGTACATTTAAGCTCCTTTTGTCAATCCTCTGCTGAATAGGGGTGGGTCTGCACACACAGCAGGCTCGTGGGGGTTAATTTCGCTTTAATTCACTGCCAAGTAAGGTCTGCCAGCAAAGGGCAGCGCACGCCCAAAACGAGTGTACGCCAATAAGTGGTGGCGTGGCGTTTGTTGTGTTCCGAGCTTGTGGAGCTCGCGTGTGGCGTGGTGGGGGGAGAGGGGAGAGGCGTGGTGTGCGGTGCGTACCATTAGCCAGTCAGGCTTCAGAGAGCCGGTCGCTACGAACTCCATGAAGGTGGCAAAGCCCTCGTTGAGCCAAAGGTCGTTCCACCAGTTCATGGTCACCAGGTTCCCGAACCACTGTGCAGACGCCCGAGCAATGAGAGAGAAATACGCGCCATGTGTCAGCAACCAACCACCGTGGACGCTGATTAATAATTGTGATCATAAACACCACTTTAATTGCGATTCATAATAAGTCTGGATTAGATCGTGTAAGCATTTTAGTTTTTAACTGGAACCCTCCGCCAACCGACAGGGCCAATGAAATCAAATTGCCATGTCATGGCTGCCAAATTATTTGGTTTTTCAGCCAAACCAGAGGAGGAATGTTGGCATGCACAATGACAATTGTACAGCGTGAAAGAAGTTCAATATACATGCAAACCAAAATAACTTAATTATGAATCATAATAAGAATAGGTTTTACCCTGTCTGCCAACAAAACAGGAGGTCTTAAGATGCCCAAACACCAAATATAAACCTTTTGCAAGGCACCAAGGATGCATTAACCACACACAGTACTTGTGGTGGACATGCAAACAAAAAATGCTGTGATAAAAGATGGCATGGTCTTTGAAACTGACTGGCCTACACCAGAGACAGCCTTCTTTAGGGCCTAGTCTCACCAGTGTCAGACCAGAGAACGCCAAAAGTCGAACAGTACAAAGACAATGCCACTATCAGAGCATTTATAGCTGAGGGTGAGCAGTTATATCAATGGGACCTGTTGGCAGTATCAAGATGATGAAACAATAGGCTTTACCCTTTCTGGCAATAAAACACAAAATCAGTTCACCACAAGTACCGTGTGTGATTAATGCGCACTTAATACCTTGCAAAAGGTATATAATTGGTGTTTGAACATCTTAACACCTGTTTTATTTCCAGAAAGGGTAACACCGATGATTATTATTCGTACTTTGACACTGGCAAAAAGGTCCCATATATGAATCATAATATTGGTTGTGAAAGCCTCCATATAAAAATAACTTTAATGATGGTGGTGGTCATGCTATTAATTTTCCAACAACATATCTGCTTGCACCCCTTAAGTTACGCAAAACTTAAAACACCACAGCAGAAATCGCATCTGTCAAAATACACACCACAAGCCATCTTACACACAGCATATTATCAGTCGCAGCTCGAGTCGAGCCGATAGCAAAATGATCCACGAGGTTGATAATGTAAGGCTATACACCAAGGGACAGGCAAACACATCCCGGACTTGGCAAACAAGACAGAAAACATGCGACAGCATAAACGAGACAAAGTAGAATACGTTCTTCCGCTGAATGGTGCGAGGAAGTGAATTGTTCAAGGGCCCCTGAGAACACGTCGGTGCACGACCATGGCAGTACAGACGAGGATGACGAAAACAGCTCTGAGAGTCGCCACACAGGCGGTGGGCACGTTACACAATCCCACGAGGGCGCGAGATGGCGGGTGCGGACAGCGGCGGTGCACGCGCCGGTCACAAGCTCACCTGGTGAGCGAGCTCGTGCGCGATGACCTGTGCGACCCAGAGAGTGTCCCGCACGCCCGAGGCCTTGGGGCCTAACAGCAACGCCGTCTCGCGGTACGTGACGAGTCCCCAGTTCTCCATGGCCCCGGCCGCAAAATCTGGGATTGCCACGAGGTCTGGGGGGGGGGGGGGGCCAAGGAGTCGTGGGGACAGGGGGAAGCAAGGGCATAGGAACACAAGCAAAAGGGGGCACAGTTGGAGGGGACAGAGGGACGTGGGATCACAAAATGATGGGATTTAAAAACAGAAGAGAATGATCACATTTGTGAATGGCACGTAAATCACGCATTTCTACTGCATTTCAGACCTGTATCAGCAATACAAATGTTTAATGAGATGCACTCAGAGGTAAATATTAAGTGAGATTGAGAAGAACAAGTTCGGATAGAATAAACAATAATGCCTTTTATTTGTTCATCCAGGAAAGCCTCATTGAGTCTCAAGAATATTTTCAGGAGGATTCTGCATTTGATGAATCACAAGATCTGAAAAACCCCATGCAAAGGAGGTGCTAATATTCAAATGTCTGGACACACAAGTTGAAAAAATACATTTGCTCCACGGCCATCTCTTGTTTACCTCAATCTAGCGTGTTTGAGAGTTTCACAAATCTACGTGATAAACCAACCCTTGTATGTATATGTATGAACTTCTTTCGCACCATACGTAGCCAACGGTGCCAATCGGAGGTGTGGGGGAAGGACAACTAAACACAAAAAGCAGTTAAAAAGGAATGAGTTTTCAATCTAGATTTAAAAGTGCATAGCTCCAGGTGGCTTTCTAATATCGGAATGAAGAGCGTTCCAGACGACCACAGAAGCGCATCTGAACGCGAGTGATGAACCCTTGTCTCCAACGAGCATCTTCACTGTGTGCCCTGAATTAAAATATGTATGCAGGTTTAATTCTTTCGCAACGTGCGTAAGCCAATCGTGCTAAATCGGAGGTGGAACCGTGCTAATCTGAGGCATGATCATCAAAAGGAATTGTGTGGTGTGGATGAGGAAAGTTCAAGTCGCAAAAGTGGAAGCACCTTGCTTGGGCAGTGGATAGGAGATGTTGAACAATTCCTCGTAGAAATCCAAGAACTTGATGGCATTTTCCAGCGCAAAACTTCCCTGCTGCTCCTTGCCAGGGGATGTGTAGATGGACACCTGTGGACAAATTGCGCTGTCATTGCCATCACTACCTAACACGTAGGCTTTCGCGACCAATATCATCCAGAGGTTTTTTTGGGTAAGATCGCGTAAATATATGTCGTTAAACCCGCCAGTACCCGACACAGCCAATTAGTAAGGGTTGTCACGTAAACAGAACATGCCAATTCGTCACTAGTACAGCACACCGGTGTTGGAGAGTCGGTGTGTTGGAGAGCCAAATCTGGCTGTCGCCTGACGAAGCTAGTTGTAATATTACTGGCCAAACGTCGTACTCAGGTTGTAAATGTTATGGCTTGGCTGTCCAACACACCGGCATGCTGTACTAGTGACGAATTGGAATGTTCTGTTTACATAACAACCCTTATTAGTTGCGGATTTAACGACACATTTATATATTTACGCGATCTAACCTCAAAACACCTCTATTATGGACCATCACTATCGTTGGCTACGTGCTTTCACTGGGTATTGGCGAAGTACAGTCCGGTGAAGCAATTTTTTTTTGCAGGAGAGATGCTAGATGCTGGCACGGAGGTGTGTTACGCAGCCAAACCAGTTCCCATCCGTCATGGCTCAGTGCGCGCGACTCACATCTCGCGGCGTGAAATATATACGAAATTATACCTTGCGTTGATTCGTTTTTTTCACACAATCTTCTTCTTCTTTTGTACGGCTGCTGATGTAGATGCAGAGCAATAACTACAATTTCGCATTCAGGTGGTCAAGCCAAATAACTGCGTCAGGAGTAGCGTAGTGTATCATCGCTCTGATGTCTCGTACGTATTTGTGGATCGGGCATTACGTCGTTATATGTTGTATGGTATGTTTTGGATGACCACAGTCACACACTGGAAAGTTTTTCATTTTCCACACAATGGTAAGGGCTCAATGAAAAGCCTAATTTTAAATACTCTAACAATGCATACATTGTGTACATATTCAGCCCTTTGTTAATCCATGCTGGATGATGGCTTCCTAATTGCTGTCACCATCCCTCATGGTCCAGGGCTGCTACCATCTCATCTCAATGCAACTCACATTGACAAAAACAACAACTCAACCGTATTTATTATTTTACTTAACATTGCACTCCTCGTGCACATTGCATCTCAATACACTGTAGAATTTGTAACGTGTGTATTTTTTCGCACGGAGGTGCAGAAAACGACAGCCACTTCTCGAACGCAGAGCCTGAAACCGGTGTTAGCGATCGGCCAAGCTCCATCTTATTCCGGGACGTATGACCAACTCCACATCACAATAAACACTCCCAACGGGAGTGCATTCAAACGAGAGAGGTAGGCGGTCGGGCATCATGGGAGCTGATGTGCACGGCGCTACGTACGTTGGTTCCGTGCTTCGTTTTGTTGGAGATGCTCTTGAAGTCACTGACGATGAAGGCAACGAGGTAGGTGCTCATGACCACACTGCCCTTGAACGTGTCCTCGAGCAGCCCGTCCTTGCGCGTCACCGTCTCGTTCTGCACTCGCGAACAAACTAAAACTGTTAACGTTTTATATTACCAGCTAAGGCCCACTGAGCTGTGTAGCTCTTTTTCAGAAGCGACCTGGCCACAAATGATAGTTCAACGAAGTAGCTTATCATCCCGTGGAAATTGATAGCAGCCAAATACTCTGAACGCACGTTGATTCTCAATGTGTATGGAAAAACCAGAGGATCTGGAGAAAAATCCACACGGCCACGAGGAGAATATGCAAACTGTAAATATACAGGCATCAGGTTCGGGATTGAACCCATAATCTCCTGTATACCAGGTGAGCTAGTTAACATTTCGCAAATGCGGCACCTCAAACACAAGCCTTCACATCCGTCCGGCCGGCTTGTGCTTGGTTGGGGCAAGAACCATTACACACAAACTCTCCGGCCATCCTCGCATTGGCTTTTGGCTAACCATCGGACAAAGATAGCCACCGCAACACGCGCTTTCGGATGTACTTTTGTGGCCGTTTGGAACCCTCTCCCTTCCAATATTCGGAAGCCACTGAAGTTACGCACTTTTAAATAAAAATTGAAACTTATTTTGTTAGAATTGCTTTTTATGTTTTGTTTGTTGTCCTTCCCCTGCACCTCCGATTACCACGGTTGTTTACTTACGGTGCGAAAGAACTTCAACATACATACATCAGTGAGCACCAGAGCTTCATTTCACCCCGGCCTGTCTGGGTCAGCGACCCAGAATATATATCTGCACTCGGCACACCGCATCCAGTATCCCTCTGGCTATGGCTACCACTAGTCACCTGCCACCTAATACAGTCCACGAGCGACCCAGAATATATTCAGCAAGAAATTAAGCCCAAGCGTGTGCGCAGAATGCAGCGGGGTAAGGCCAGCACCACACCAGTGCACAAAGAAAAAGATCCCCCAAATAGCCTTTAACAAAATGTTGGAGTAAGTGCTGTTAAGGAACACTTGTTAAGGCCGGTGCAGCACACAAGGGGGTGGGTGATCAACACCATGCCCTGCTGCTTTTGTCTCTCCAGTGCTGATATTTATACATCGCACCAGCTATTCATTTCGGGCCGAGTCGACCTCGGGGAGATACAGGACCGGTTCACATATATCCATCACCGTTGTTGGCCGTGACCGGGAATCATTCTCGTGTCACCAAGTTCACAGCACAGCACGTTACCCACGACACTACCGCTTCCCACATTGCTGTGCACAGGCGCACCCACGCAGAACAGCATGCGAGGTGCTCAGATTAATGTAGTCAGCCTCACCCACTGGCTCCTGAATTAACGTAGTCAGCCTCACCCACTGGCTCCTGGAGTAACGTAGTCAGCCTCACCCACAGGCTCCTGGATTAACATAGTCAGCCTCACCCACTGGCTCCTGGATTAACGTAGTCAGCCTCACCTACCAGCTCCTGAATTAACGTTGTCAGCCTCACACACAGGCTCCTGGAGTAACGTAGTCAGCCTCACCCACAGGCTCCTGGATTAACGTAGTCAGCCTCACCCACTGGCTCCTGGATTAACGTAGTCAGCCTCACCTACCAGCTCCTGAATTAACGTAGTCAGCCTCACCCACTGGCTCCTGGATTAACGTAGTCAGCCTCACCCACTGGTTCCTGGAGTAAGGTAGTTAGCCTCACCCACTGGCTCCTGGATTAAAGTAGTCAGCCTCACCCACTGGCTCCTGGAGTAACGTAGTCAGCCTCACCCACTGGCTCCTGGAGTAACATAGTCAGTCTCACCCACTGGCTCCTGGAGTAACGTAGTCAGCCTCACCCATTGGTTCCTGGATTAACGTAGTCTGCCTCACCCACTGGCTCCTGGAGTAACGTAGTCAGCCTCACCCACTGGTTTCTGGATTAACGTAGTCAGCCTCACCCACTAGCTTCTGGAGTAACGTAGTCAGCCTCACACACAGGCTCCTGGAGTAACGTAGTCAGCCTCACCCACTGGTTCCTGGATTAACGTAGTCAGCCTCACCCACTGGTTCCTGGATTAATGTAGTCAGCCTCACCCACTGGCTCCTGGATTAACGTAGTCAGCCTCACCCACTGGCTCCTGGAGTAACGTAGTCAGCCTCACCTACCAGCTCCTGAATTAACGTAGTCAGCCTCACCCACTGGCTCCTGGATTAACGTAGTCAGCCTCACCCACTGGTTCCTGAATTAACGTAGTCTGCCTCACCCACTGGCTCCTGGAGTAACGTAGTCTGCCTCACCCACTGGCTCCTGGAGTAACGTAGTCTGCCTCACCCACTAGCTTCTGGAGTCACGTAGTCAGCCTCACCCACTAGCTTCTGGAGTCACGTAGTCAGCCTCACCCACTAGCTTCTGGAGTCACGTAGTCAGCCTCACCTACCAGCTCCTGAATTAACGTAGTCAGCCTCACACACAGGCTCCTGGATTAATGTAGTCAGCCTCACCCACTGGCTCCTGGATTAACGTAGTCAGCCTCACCCACTGGCTCCTGGAGTAACATAGTCAGCCTCACCCACTGGCTCCTGGATTAATGTAGTCAGCCTCACCCACTAGCTCCTGGAGTAACGTAGTCAGCCTCACCGACTAGCTCCTGCAGTAACGTAGTCAGCCTCACCCACTGGCTCCTGGATTAATGTAGTCAGCCTCACCGACTAGCTCCTGGGGTAACATAGTCAGTCTCACCCACTGGCTGTGGAGGGGAAAAACCGGAGGACTCAGAGAACAATCCACGCGATCACGGAGAGAACATGCAACCTCCAAATATACAGGTGTCAAGGTCGGGATCGAACCCACGACCTCATTTTTACCAGGCGAGGTAGTTAACATCTCGGCACCATGGAGGCCAGTGGATGGAAAACCAAAAAATTGTCTACACCAGCAATATAATTATTTAACGTTTTTATGCAGGCATCTGGGCCAAAATGCATTATATAAGCAAGTGGATTGGAACAATATCAACCACCCTCCCTGTTGCTTGGGCACAACTAAATAGGTCAGTCGGCATCGCAAAAAAATAGTTTCTGCAAAGGTTACTTTACAAAACAAGACTGTTCTCTCACGAGGGCTTTACATATCTTTTATGGGGCAGCGTTCATCGCCCGAGGCAGATAATTTACTCGGTCAAGGCCTTTGTGTGCTCTTCGCGCACGTCCGTCCGTGTATCGCCTGCACGCAGGTTCACGTCAGCATGCACGCGTGTGCATTTATGCACATGCACGTATACTTGCTTTGAATATACGACACTGAACAGGGGACCTTTGCGCTTGTGTTTGCACGTGCGCACAATGCACGTGTGCACAATGCACGTGCAAGTGTTTCCATACATGGCTGCGTATGCATAGTTGTGCGAGCATTGTGAGCGTACGTGCATCTGCACGTCTGCATTTGAACGTGAGTGTGTGCGCGCATCACGGTACTATAGCGGTTCGCGTGCTGTACTACGAAACCGGCGAGCCGAGTTGGATTCCTGGTCACGATCAAAACCCACTCGCGATCATCTGAACCGGTCCCGGGGCCTTCCCTCGGTCGACTCAGCCTCAAATGAGCACCTGGTGCGATGTGTAAACATCGCCACTGGGGAGACAAAGGCGGCCGGGCGTGGTGCTGGCCACCCACCCCCACATGTGCCACGCGGGCCTTCGTAGATGCTACTCGCTAACAGCACTTGTTCCAACAGTCTGTTGGAACAACAGCCTGTGTCTTGGTCTTTTGTGTGTGTGTGTGTGTGCGCGCGTGTCGCACCAGGGGCATGTTGGAGAGCGTGGTGTGCGCGGCGTCGCGCACGATGCTGATGTCGAACGAGGCCTTGAAGTCGGGCTCGTCGAAGCACGGGAAGGACTCGCGCGCGGACGTCGGCTCAAACTGTGTCACCGCCAGCGGTCTAGGGACAGCCAAAACGCGCACGCTCGGTCGCCAGCCACCGCAGCAATCGTGCGACATATCCGCCGCGACATCGCAACCGTACAAACATCAGAAAGGCTGTGCCGCCACTAACGGTGAGAAGGGGGTGGGGGGTAAACCCTGCCTCGCCTCACCGATCACTGCCGTCCTCGGCGCGGTAAGTGCTGCGGTAGAAGCCGAGGAAACTGGTGGACAGGCGCCCGGTGAAGGTGATGTTGAGCAAGTACATCTGGCCTTGCGTCAGAGGCTTGCGGGTGCAAACCATCAGCTGGTCGCGTGGCTCATAGCGCAGCAGCTTCGCCACCAATGATCCATCGGCACCGCCACCTGCTGCGCAAACGGAAGCAATGTCAGCCTGGCGAAGTAGGGCAGGCCAGACAAACCAATAACCACACACGGGTGTCGCACATGCGCGAGAGGCACAGAAATCGAAGAACAATGTGGCGTGGCGCAGTGCTCTGTGCGCGTGGACCCCGGCGATTACCGGCGTACCCGGAGCTCCATCAGCAGGCACAAGGATGGACTCCGTGATGGTGAGGTTATTTGCGTGCAGCACCACGTGGTCCGTGCTCTCATCCACCAACAGCCACACACTGACGTATCCCTCCACGGCCAGCGTCGTCAGGTTGGGGTGCAGGCACAGGTGGTAGTGCAACGGCCGCACGGACCTCGGAAGTCGATCGTCCGCCCAGGGGAAAACCTCTCCGTCGGCCGTGAAGGGGAACGTCGCGTTGCCCGCACCGCTCGGCGTCGTGCCGCCGCGGTGGTCATGATCATCGCCGGCGGCACTGCTGTTGCTGCTGGCGCAGCCGTTGCCAATGCCCAGCGCACAGGGCACGTAAGACAGCGCGATTCCGATGACCACGATAACGCCGATGGCGCCCGCAGCGCAGAACATGAGCGTGCGGGGACTCATCTGCTGGCAGCAGAGGTGCACGCCGGGCCCGTCCGAGCCGCCGGGCCCCGTCGACGGCGCCGCCCTGCCGCCCGGGCCGCGCCCCGACCTCGGCTCGTCAGGGTCGCGGTTGAAGAAGGCGGCACCCAGCAGCCTGCGCGATGACTCCTCGTTGTCGTCGTCAAAGTCTTCGTCGAACTCGTCGGGGTCCCCGGCGTAGATTGGCAGTCGCGACAGCGTGTGGGGCCGGCTGTCGTCCTCCGGCGCCGTCGGTCTATCGGCACTCCCGCCGCCGCTGCTGATGAGAGGGTGCTGAGTGTAGAGCGGCACGGAGCTGGCGGCGAGCGTGCGTGGGGACGACAGCGCCACGCTGTTGCCGAGGGACGGGTCGGCGCCCGGGTCGACATTGGGCATCCCTGCATCGGCCTCCTCATCTTCCTCCTCCTCGTCGTCATCTTCAAACATGCTGTTCTCGATCATGTGCTTGGGCAGCGGGGCCCTCTCTGCGGAGGCGAGGGGGGGGGCACTCGTTCAATCGGCATGGATAGTCACCACAAGAGGAACAGCCTTTCCAAACGAAAAGACCGATGACAAAATTGGCCGCCGTCTTGACCGAGCAATTTGGGGTGATAATGGCATGCAAGAACACTGAGCCAGCGCCACCGGAAAAATAATCCTTGCGTGTGTTCCAGCAGGCAGGGATTTTTATCGTGGCAGTCAAACCTTTCCCGGTGGGAAGTCGTTCATTTTCTTTTGCTGTCCCGTGTTATCGAGCTCCCTTCACCCAACTATGTGTGCTGTCCTCTTTTCCTGTTTTTGACTGACTACATCTCTCTAAAATAAATATACACATTGTTTTTGTACAGCGTCTAGAGATGCAATTGCATGCTATATAAATCCACATTGTATTGTATTCAGTTTTTACAACCCTAGGGTGAAATCCCATTTTCTTAAATTTAGTTTGTAATTTCACTTGACATATTTCTAACACCAAATTTTTTTAAAATGTGTTTAACTGATGTGACACAAACACTATTTTCAAGGCATATAAGAGATGTGTCCCGAGTACGTACCGAGGCCTTTTGAAGATATTAACAAAAAACTCACTCGTCAACACAGAAAAGAATATTCCATGTTGGTGATATTTCAGGAAATGGCCCTTCTTAAGATATGGTTTTGTTATGGAATAATCCAGGGCCATTGTCGAACACAAGCAGGTGAACTGCTCAATGTGAGAGTTCCGATTGTGAACTTCTTCATGCCTTAACAAAACAACACTAACGAGCGACTTACGGAACACACGTTTGAAACCGAATTGATAACAGCGCACAGGGCCCAGCAAGTTTATTTCGAGCCACGTTCAATTTAACTGTGACAACTTCCATCTCACAGAGGCGAGACCTGCACCGACAAAGTCGCACGCGCGGTGCCACACGCAACCAGCGTGCACCTCGTGTTCACCACCAAGTTTGCTCGTCTTCACCACCAGGACGGCAATGGTACTCAAGCACCTCCATAATAAGGGGGGTCTGGCTGGTGGGCGATGGTGCAACGGGAGTGCATTATAAAGGGTTAGCAAACAGCATTATCAGCCGTTTCTCACGATTATATTGCCCAAAGGCTGCCGGAGTGGATAGCATGCAGCAGCAGCAACATCCCCTCCCCCCGTACTCCTGTCACAGCCAGCATTGATTTTCACACAAAGCGATGATGCATGGGAGAGCTCGGGCTTACACAAAGCGACATGGTAAAAAATTACACCCACAGGGATGCGTATATCTGACAATAATAACGAAATCATGTTCAGCCCTTCGTGAATAAAGTGTTGGAACAGGGCCTTCAATGCTGTACAGGTCGTGGGGGTCAATTGTCATTCATTAACGATGCGGGTTAGTGTGGGTTGGTGAAGACGGGCGAGCATAGACGTAGGAGCATAGAAGTACACAACAATGGATTTTGTTGAAATGCCCTCTTTGGCCCAACAGGTAGCCTCGCACCCCCTTTGACAGCCCTGTTTGTTTGTGTTCCAAGCATTATCCAGGCTCAACATTTCTTGGTTTCTGAAATCGGGCCAATGCATCCCTAATATAATACATGTGGTACGCAACACAAGTGAACTAATCCTGCTCTTCACCTGCACGTTTATACTACAAATTCACTGCATATGTACGTATGTTGAACTTCTTTTGCACCGTACATGGCCAACCGTTTTGCTTCCGATGCAAACATTATTTCACTCGGCAAGCACAGTGTGACAAGTCTCATTCCATGGGCCACATTGAAGGGATTAAATATTAAATTAGGCCAAGCGTGTGTGGAGAGAAGGCAGTGTACACTGAAGCCAATGAAGCCAGATGCCAAAGACATAAGAGCTAACACCAACGGCACTGCTGCCAGCACCAAGGTCTGCTGGCAACTCCGCTGTAATATTGGGCCAGCAGTTTTTGACCATCGCTATCACCGAGTGCTCTGTACAGTTTCCATGCAATATTGCACCGGCCAAACACAAGCAAAGCGGCGTTAGGCGGCCGCGCGAAAAGCAACGCGCCCGCACAAACACTGAACGGTCCTGTGGAAAGGGGCTTTGAATTGCCCGCTCTGCACCTGCAGAGAAATTCTTATCTCCCCCAAGTGTTGAAATAAAATTCGGGGGGTGGCCGTGGTTCCATCGTGACCCACGCGGGGCGCGCAACGCAAACACCGGAAAGAATGTGGGCCCAAGAAGCGGCCACCACAGGTCACGGCCAGGCGTTGGGCGGACCTGCCAGCCGAGCTGTAACAGCAATAAAAAGGAGGGCAATGTAAGAGCGCTTCATGGGTTTATTGTTCGCTGTTGCACTGTACTGTACGGCCTCATGTGTGTTGTGTGCGGCACGGAGTCTGACGTTTAACTCCACGTTCCGAGAGCTTCTTTAGGAAATGAAATTATTTTGTTTGTGAAGCTATCCAGCGAATGGCACAGAATGTCGGACATCACTCCAAACAACATGCGGTACAATCCGACAATGCATCGCGGAAAATAACAGCATGGCAGTGCTTTGATTTTTTTTCTCCAGTGCGGCTTCGCGAAATCTAAAAACACGATTAGCTGTCCATCACTGGGACGTTTGGTCAAATCTAGATGCATTATCCTGCATGTTCCATCCGCGATGGAGGAGTGTACTCGGGCCATTAATGGACTGACAACGGCGTGCATGTTACGTACTTTTTTTTTAAACATTGCAATGCGTGAGGACACCGTAGAAAACTCAAGCTTACGAGGCAATAACACTCAAAACGTGCGCGCACAGATCAACCTGCGTGCTGTGCTGCTACGATGGCCACCACCATCACCAGCTATCGGTGTCAGCCAACAACAGCATCGACGCTTCTTCCTGGACCCCCACCCAACCCCCCTATACCACCACCTCGCAAGACCGCTGGTTCACAGAGCATCCTGCGCCGCCGCCGCTGCAGTAGCGGCTGGCGTCCGCACTGAGAGAGGGCGGCAGCAGCAGATAGTCCCACGCGTCACGACCGAAGTAAACGGGGTCGCGGTGAAGCTGCCAGCGGCCTTGTTTGGCCACAGCTGTTTGTTTCATAGGCGGAGGGGGCAAAGCTCTCTGCGCAAGTAAATGGGCAAGACGCAACATCTGACCCGCGTGCCTGGCAAGCATCGCGTCTTGCCAATCCAGCGAGGCGGCCTTAACATAATGCGTGTGTTGATAAGCACGTGCTTCAACGCTAATTGGATTGGAAGGTGGAAATCATGTGCTGGGCTTCTCCTAGGTCGACTCAGCCACTGGGGAGACAAAGGCGGCCGGGCGTGGTGCTGACCACCCACTCCCTCGTGAAAACTCAACAGTTCCGGCCGCCATAGATGGTCGCTAACAGCACTTGCCCCTACAGTATGTTAAGGCTATACGGGGGATCTCTGTCTTGTGCTTCAACGCTAAATGAAAGGAGGAAGTTATGAAGCGAAATGTTGTACTGCGCTGTTCTATTTCGCTTTATTTGTCTACCTTAAAACACGACTACGGCAGTGGCGATGGTCACACACCCGTGTTGTGCACAGAATACAACCGTCCAGTTGAGAAGCTACTCATTTTGAGCCGCAACAGTCTCAGACGGTGATACCAATGTACACATCCGTCGGCGGATGATGATATCGATGATGAGGCTGTATGTAATATGGGAGGCCTTATGCACAGCACACTAACCGGATAACACACCGACTAACACCTGGTCAATGCCGACCACCACCGGCGTGCGAACTCTGTTAGTGAAATCACAACTCACGTAACTAAAAAAAACACAGTACTATTCACCATCTCTCCAGAGCGGCTAAAGCGACGCTTAAGACACATTTCACAAATTGAGGAACAAACGAATATTAACGTACGGCCCTTTTTGCCAATCCACGCAGACTCGGTCATTTGTGGTTGTTTAACCATACTTCATCACGCCGAATCGCTCGGCGTGGGTTCGTGAAAGGAGGTCCCAGGCTCACGGCGAGTCGCGCACTTCAGCAGAGCACCAAAAGCAACAGAGAGACAGCCATGGTGGGCGCGCACGTAAACACAGCGGCCACGTGTGTGTTCGCGACGCCTGGCCAAGGGGAACTTTAAACTTCGGACTCTTCGATACGACATCGCATTGTCGAGGGAGACTATGGAGCAGCGTGTAATAATAAATATGGCTTAAGAGGCAAGCGTGTGTGTAAGCGGTTATGTATATAATAAAACAACCCGGTAACAAGTGTTTACTGCCGTGACAACCCTTACCGCCGTGCAGGTCTCCAGCCATCGCGCGCCGTTCACCTCCCGATCCGTCGCTTCAAAGCAGCGGCGATGCCGTCAATCAACTTGCTCGCACAAAATCAGGCACTTTAGTGAAACGGCAGCCGAGTCGATCGTACAAATAATAACGACGACGACGACGGTGAGGGGAATAATTAGCGGCGAACTGCGCCGACTAAACGAGCCTCCTCCTCCCCGCCGCTCTTAGAGAGAACTCTGCCTAGCGAAGATCATTCGCGTTCATGACAATCAAAGCCTCGCTCGCGTCCGCTGCGCGCGCGCGCCGGACGGACGGACGTACGAGCCGCGTCTATAGCGGCGATCGACTCGAATGTACGAACAACTTTGAGCAAGAAACTCGAACGTAAAGAACTGAACAACACAGGCGCCACCACGCACGCGGGTCGACACGGACTCACGACTCGGGGCTGACGGCCGCGTTTAATTTCCCAGTCAGCTTAGATAGAGCCTGCCCTCGGGACGCCTCTGATTGGCCGCGCTCCTCCCGGTGTGGCCCGGGCCAAACCAATCGTCGACGCGGGTGCGACGCCCCGCTGGGCACGCGAACCAATCGGAAGCCCGCGCTGCGCGGGGGCGCGCTCATGCGCTGTACGGAATGTGGAAGGTTGGCCCGGCAGGCCCCGTTGGGCCCCCCGCTCTGTGCCTGAAACTCGGCCGGGGTTCGAGGGCCACTGCAAGGCGGCGAGGGCGGCAAAAGCCCCAAGGTGGCGTTGGGGAGTCGAGGTCGACTGATTACCAAGGGATAAAGTTTTATTTTCGCTTGTGCGGGTTGCGTTTTACTTCCACGGCGATATTGTGTTATGATAATACGCCTAAAAATTAACATACATTTGTGAGTTTAACTTTGCCAACGCACGTCATCATTTTAAATGCTCGGCACGTGAGTGCGGTGACGTGAATATTATTCACAAGCCAGGTGAAAGTTAAGTAAATAAAAGGAGTTTATTTTAAAAAAAACTGCGACCATGAAAAATACAGTTTAAGTTACACCTGAAGAATGTATTAGTTTAATATGTCATTGATAAGAGCCATTCAGTCAATCCACTGTGGGCATAGGAGCTAAGGGCTCCCACTATTATTTTAACTCCTAAATGTTTTATTTTGCCAGGCAAGACCCACGGAGCTACGTAGCTCTGTTTTAAAAGCGACCTGGCCACGAATGATAGCTCAACGAAGATGGCTTATCATGTGGAAATGTATAGCAGCCAAATACTCTAAACGCGTGATGTTGATTCTAAATGTGGACGGAAAACCCGGAGGACCCGGAGAAAAATCCATAATAGCACGGGTAGAGAGAGAGAGACGCAAACTCCAAATATACAGCAGCAGCAGCAGGCGTCAGGGTCGAACCCACGACCTCCTGTAGACCAGGTGAGGTCGCTAACATATCGCCTCGTGGTCCTGTGGGTTCACCCTTGCTTTACACTGATGAGACGTGGCGGGGGGGGCATAGCGGTACAATACAACAATGTCTTGCTGTACTTCTCTCTGCTGCCCACGTTGACCCCCGTAACCTGTAACGCCTGTTATGCATGGTGGCCACCTAGCGAAACACTTTCAATATCCTACGGTTCTGAGATTTAACGACGTCAAGCGCCGTTCCGGGGGATTTGGTCACTGGCTTAAAAGGAATTCACGCAAATGCACACCAATAAATGAATATTAACAAGTCGAATGAGATTTAGATTCAGTTTATTTTGCAACAGCATATTTTAAAAACAGCAAACACTTTGTCACTTTCTACGCCACAGACAAGTTGGTGGTCAGAACTGACATGTTGGTGGTCAGAACTGACATGTTGGTGGTCAGAACTGACATGTTGGTGGTCAGAACTGACATGTTGGTGGTCAGAACTGACATGTTGGTGGTTAGAGCTGACATGTTGGTGGTGAGAGCTGACATGTTGGTGATGAGAGTTGACATGTTGGTTGTCAGAGTGGACATGATGGTGGACAAAGTTTAAAACAGGTGATGTTTTGGTGGTGCACTTATATGTGTACCTCTAAAAAATAAGGCATAAAACAATTTAAATATAATATAGCACCGTAAATGAGTAAATACATTTCACACATACATATACTATATAATGGACAGCACAACAAATGTGAATACATTATTGTATTTATACATAAAGGGCATATGAATCATTTGGCGGGACCCTGGGGTCCCGCAAAAATCAGGTCAATAATTATTATTTTTCAGTCCGCCCACTCGTGATCCCGACAGCAACGCGCCGCCCGCCCAGACTCGCGCCAACAAGCGCCAGCAGGTGGCGATCAACACGATGGGCGCCACCCCACCGGCCAAACGCAAGCCCCGGGGGGCGTCCGCCGCGGTCGCGCGCGGCAACGACACCCTCCGGTCAGCCGTCGATCCTCGGCTTCTTTGCCAAGGCGACCCCGCTCCCGCAGTGAATTTAACGTGTTTATGTAATTTTTCAACTTTTTGCGAAACTTAGTGCCCCGAGTAGCTCTCGACGAGGCCAATCGATTGACACTAGTTTTGTTGTCGGTAAGGCAAGACTCGTGTCGCTACGCGGTTTTTCCCACCCCGGCCGGGGCAGTGATGGGACCCCGGGGTCCCGCCAATTGCTTCATATACATAATTATTTTGATTACAACTTCGGGTCTCTACCGAGAGGGGTCATCATTCACAGAAATTGGAATATGCTTGGAGCTTTATTAAATTATACATATTTTTTTTACTTTGAATCTTTGTACTCATCATACAGTAACTGTCAAGGACTTGGCAGATGTAAATGGCTGTAATCTAGAGCTAGATTGTGTTTGTTACACCATAAGTTTGTTAACACGTTATCCACACAGTGTTCTGAAAAACCAACAAGTTTCCAGACATGTTAAGTGCAGTGGCACTAAAAGGGCCCTCCCTGCCAGCCACACTCTTCTACCCACGTGCAGTCCTTTAAGCTCAGTTTGGAGATGGAGGGGGGGGGAATCATTGTATCCCCCGCTCAGCCAACCTGGGCACAAGAGACTGTGTGTGTTGTTTGGAAAATTGTACATATTGTTTCGTTCACGATAAAATGTCATAGTCTTTTAACATGAAGTATATAGAATACAATAAGCAGAACAGCTGACAGTATAGCACGACTTGAGATATTTGTACAAAGTCTAAGTTGAGTATTCGTTTTTGTTTTTCGATTAAAAAAATTGTCCCTGACTCAGAACTTTATGAAATTCTATTCTTTTGGACTTTGAAGTATGGACTAGTTGAAGATAGATTGGATTTCTGCAGACAATACAGTGTATGTGGATTATTAAATTTGATGTTACTATTTGGCTCTCTTATTTATCTGATGTTAAACACGTGCTCAGTGGGCATGGCACGGTTGGACCTCGTGAACACATCGAGCCCATTTCACCTTTTTCCTGCGGCTATTGCGGCAATTTTGAGGCAACTGCATGGACTAGGGACTGCATGTGAGCTGCCAAGTTAAACCCACAATAAGCCATGCTCTGCAGGCATGGGGTAGCAAATGATATATTTTAAAATAAAAAAAAGAACAGCGGACAAGACAAACCTTCCCTAACCCGCATAGTCTCACGTCTGTCAGTGCATGTGGCTCCAGTTCGAGAAAGCTACACAAACTTATTTTCAGGCTTTTCACTTCCAGGTGACGCTCGCAGGTCGTGTACAACTACTCGGCATTCTGAAATTCAGAGTATTATAATAAATAATACAGCACCGGTGTGTGGATTCCAATAGACCAAGCCTCCTCCTGGGAAGCTGTATGGATGTCAATGCAGTTGTGTCTGATGGAGGGCGTTCTGATGAAGCCACCGCATTCGTTTCGCCTGCTCGACTAAGCCTGCACACATTAACCAAGAGTGGAAACCCCAGGATGAAGGCTGCCACCTCCTCAAACCGGAACCACGAGCCACAGCTGCTCACGCCCTTGCCACCGACGACGCGAAATTAGCACCATCCTCCCCCAGCCTCGCGATCGGACTCGGTGCCACCGCTTGGCAGCCCACGGCGCCGTCAGTCCGCGTCCTTTCTGTTGTGTGTGTGTCTGCAACCGCCGTGGTGGTGCTCGTGGAGGTGATGGCGGTGATTGTGGTGGCGAGAGGCCTTGCGCGGCCGCGTTCTGTCTGGAGCACGGCGAAGGCGCTGCTGGGGGGCCGACCGTTCCTTCCGCCCTCGTCTGTGATCTACGTGCCAACGGTGGAACGAGCAGAGCGGGGGGGGGGGGGGAGAATCACGTGCCAAGCAGTGAGCGGCATCGTGGGAATTTGGTGCACGGTCGCCGATGGTTCAGCTTGGGCTTGGGTAGTGTTTGCTTGTGTGACCACCGCTTATAGAACATGTGTCGTAGGCTGCTGCAAGGCTACTTTGTGGACAACAGAGGACAGGGCAGCAAGGAAAAACATCATACACCATGCTCTGGCATGTATGCTCCCCACCTTCACCATCCTGTGATTGAGCACTTATCCATCAGTGGATTGACCTGTACACAATGCACAGAAAATGCAGTTACTAGGCCACTTTGGAGAGACCTTTTTTGCCAGTATGAAAGTATGAAAAAATAAGAATAGGTTTTACCCTTTCTGGCAATAAAACAGGTGTTAAGACGTTCAAACACCAAATAGAAACCTTTTGCAAGGAGTGATGCCTGCATTAACCACACAAGTTCATGTGGTTAATGCAGGCATGATTCATGTGTAAAACCTATTCTTATTTTTTTACACTTTGGAGGGGGTTTGGCTATGATTGGAGGTTGGTTTTGTTTTACCGGGTAAAAACTCAAGAGACCGGGATAGTCTAATTGTCAAGAGTGACCTGGGGCATTAGACTGCCATAAAGGGACAATGATTGCAATGTATAATCCCAAATTAGTAATTTGCGGGGTATTTTTTTCGAATTTTCTCAATTTGGACCCATGAAGCCAGCACGCAATGGGCCTACTCTTGTCAGGGGATCTTTAACATTCACTGTGAAGCAGCCGGCACGTGGTATTGTGATAGTTAATACACACACCGCAGCATTAACCAGGGCAACCGCTGGATTCGAACCGCGAACCTCTCAAAGTGCTCCCACCAAGGCCGCGTCACCGCACAAATGATTGCCCCTTGTCAATTGGGGTGAAATGGTTGTTCCAATCGATTGTCACATGGCCTAAACATTCAGCGGGTGGTTACATAAAACACCGGAAGTGAAAATACGAATTCGTTAAAATTGACTTAGATGAGAAAGTAAGAGACGTGTTAATGTCAGTGTTATGTAAGCCAAGGGCGAAGTCCCCTGCGCACTGTGAAGAGATGTTAACTACCTTGCCTGGTATACAGGAGGGGGTTTGATCCTGACCCTGACACCTGCTGTATATTTGGAGTTTGCGTGTCTCTCTCCCCATGGTCGCGTGGATTTTTCTCCGGGTGCTCCGGTTTTCCCCTCCACATTTAGAGTCAACAACACGTGTTTAGACTATTTGTCCGCAATAAATTTCCACACGATGATAAGCCACTTGGTTGAGCAATCATTTGTGATTGCGAAGTCACTTCTGAAAAAGGGCTGTATAGCTCATAGGGCTTTGCCTGGTAAAATAAACATTGTTGAGTTTACATAATAAACGTTTTTATTTCGTTTCTGTTTCGTTTTACAACCACAGTACCGCCCCCCGGACATGCACGACCATGGGTCGGGCAGGAGAGGGCGACCTTCCAGCCACCGGGCCCCTGGCACCAACGAACACCGTAAATACATAAGTTGGCGATACGCCTCTTTCACATTTCTCTCTCTCTCCCTGCACGTAGAAAAAAACCAAAGGTCAGCCACGGCCTTCTGGGAGTGCATCATTTCAACACCATTGGTTCAACGCTAAGTAAACTGCGCACCATTTATTGACATTCAGTGTCTCATGAGCAGAGTCAGGCTTGCTTGAACTGATGATGGCTGCTGAACTGCCAGTGGTGTATATAGCTGAGGACTCCGTATCTGTTAAACAAGGGTCCTCGTCTGCCGCGAAACTAAATAATACAGGATGATTGAATACCGTGATGATTGAATACTGTGAATAAGCGCAGCATTTGCTAGAGTGCAACAGGTAGACAGACTCCTTCGTTTACAATAAACCCACTTAATGGAATGGCGATGACGATGATTGTTCATAATAAAGGTTTTTGGGTTAGATCGCGTTTATTTATAAATGTGTCGTAACCCTCCACCACCCGACACGGCCAATCAGCAAAGAAAAGTGTCACGTTGACAAAAGACAAATAATTCACTACTTCAGCCCACCGGTGTGTTGAAGAGTTAATCCACATTTACAGTTTGAGTACGACGTTTCGCTGGTAAATACTTCCAGCATCATCGGGCAATTCGCCAGAATGGTAAAGCCCTCGCTTGCTCCCGGTTTTATATAGAGCAGAAGAGTGACGTCATCACTTAACTCATCAGGTGCAGTGATTAGAGGCGGAGGGGGGGGTAATGTAATTATATAATCGATTAGTAATCAGTCATTGGTTATGATTAGTAATGAGTTGTAGATTAGTAATTCTTTAAATCAAAATGTAATGTGTATTATTTAATAATACGCTTCCAGGCCGCACTGAGCCGGTAGCTGTCAGAGCGATTAAAGTTATTCTTGTTCCTCGCTCTGACAGCTACCGGCTCAGTGCGGCCTGGAAGCGTATTATTAAATAATACACATTACATTTTGATTTAAAGAATTACTAATCTACAACTCATTACTAATCATAACCAATGACTGATTACTAATCGATTATATATTTACATTACCCCCCCCTCCGCCTCTAATCACTGCACCTGATGAGTTAAGTGATGACGTCACTCTTCTGCTCTATATAAAACCGGGAGCAAGCGAGGGCTTTACCATTCTGGCGAATTGCCCGATGATGCTGGAAGTATTTACCAGCGAAACGTCGTACTCAAACTGTAAATGTGGATTAACTCTTCAACACACCGGTGGGCTGAAGTAGTGAATTATTTGTCTTTTGTCAACGTGACACTTTTCTTTGCTGATTGGCCGTGTCGGGTGGTGGAGGGTTACGACACATTTATAAATAAACGCGATCTAACCCAAAAACCTTTATTATGAATAATATTGGTCGCGAAAGCCTACGTGTTAAACTGACGATGATTGTGTTGGTAGTTTATCATTGGTGACGGCGGTGGTTGTAAATCATATGAATGGTAATGATGATAATAATATGAATGCGATGTTTACCCAACTAAACCTCAAAGAGTCTCAATTACTTTTTTTTAAATCATGTACTGGAACAATATGTTGGTTTAATTTTATTTGTGAGTATTTAGAATGCAGGAGGTAATTGGAGTACCTGGAAATAACCCGCACGTATGTGGCGGTGACATTCAGCATTCGTGCAGTGCCATCTCCTGGTCACCTCGCAGCCCCTGGCTCTAAGAATGTGGTAACCCCAAGAATGTGGCAACCCCAAGAATGTGGCAACCCCAAGTTGCCGAGTCGTCGCCCCTTCCAAGTGCTGACAAGGTGCAGCCCCGACTTAGCTTCCAAGTTAGGGCGCAGTTTGGGCTATTTGGTAGTAAATTATCATAGTTATGATGGTGAAGTTTACCGTGATAGCAATATGCAATGATCCTGAGCAGCTCACGAAACAACGATGACAAAGAATCTCCATTATAGCCTTTAGGAGTCTGGTGGACCAAGTGCTGTTTGCGAGCACCTATTAAAGCCGGCAACGGCACAGGAGGAGGTGGCTGGCCAACACCACTCCTGATTGCCTTTGTCTTCCTAGTGGCGATGTTTATACAGCGCACTCGGTACTCATTTGAGGCTGAGTCGGCCTAGGGGAGACCTAGGGCCGATTCAGATAATCGTCACTGGTGTTGACCGTGAGCGGGAATCGAACTTGGGTCGTCGGGTTCATAGCGCAGCGCGCTCACCGCTACACTACCGCTCCCCACTGTTAGTGGTAAAAACAAAGATCCCCCGTATAGCCTTAACAGACTGTAGGGGCAAGTGCTGTTAGCAAGCACCCATAAAGGCCGGCACGGCACACGAGGGAGTGGGTGGCCAACACCACGCCCGACCGCCTTTGTCTCCCTAGTGGCGATGTTTACACACCGCACCAGGTACTCATTTGGGGCTGAGTCAACCTCAGGGAGGCCCAGGACCGGTTCAGATAATCGTCACCGATGTTGGCCGTGAGCAGGAATCGAACCCGGGTCGCCAGGTTTATAGCACAGCGCCCTAACCACTGCACCACCGCTCCCCACTGTTAGTGATACACACACTCACACACGCATCCACCCACCGGGCTCTTTCTTGCAGGTGGAGGTGAACAGGTACGAGCAAGACACATCGTTCCACTTGCCGCCCTCATGCCAGATCATCACCACGCAGTTCTCGCCGCCTGGTGCTGCCCCGTCCGGCTGCTCAGACCGCCAGCTCTCGTAGACCTCACCGAGCACACAGGCGAGACACACGCATGTGCTCATTGCATGTTGGTGGTCAGAGCTCCAAAGAGGTGTCATATTGGCAGGTTTTAATTCCCCACTGAAGGAGCTGATAGACCGGAGACAAAGAAAGAGGGAAACTCTTTCACTATTACCTATTTTTATTTTACCAGATAAGACCGACTGAGCTATATACCTCTTTTTCAGAAGCGACCTGGCCACAAATTATAGCTCAACGAAGTGGCTCATCATGCGGAAATTCATAGCAGCCAAATTCTCTAAAAGCATTTTTCTAATTATGGAGGAAAAGTCCAGAGAACCCGGAGCAAAATCCACGCGACCGCAAGGATAACACTCAGGGTCGGGATGAAACCCACAATCTCCTGTATACCAGGCGAGTTAGTTAACATATCGAATGGTATGCCGTGCGCGTAAATATTTGATGGGTCACTGACCTGCACACACCCGGCTGAATTTTTGACGTGCATATTGGAAATCAGTGTAATTATTATTATTAACTGGTAATGCGCTGCATGGTACTCGCTCACTCTCAAAGAGAGAGAGAACGACTCACAGGGGTGCCACGAGGAACCACAAACGGGAAGGCAGCAGCCAAGTGGTGAGCTGGCGCCAAACTTCCCTCCCTCCAAGCTCTGCGGTCCTCTCTATATCAAGGTGCTAGCAGCCAATGAATGAGCGTACTTCTATAGTTGGTGTTCTTCAGAAGGCTCCGACATCGTTGACCACTACGCATACCCCTCCCCTCTCTACTTACCGCTGTCCCAATTGCTTTCCCTTACCGACCCTGCCATACAGGGTGCTCTACTCCCTCCTCCACGCTCTGTGCTGATACCTCCTTGAACTTAAGATCCTCCCATATCACACCCCGCTGGGCCAGGGGGTCAGCAACGAAAATGACAAGAAGAGCCATTTTTTTTTATTCGGTAAAATAGACCTCAATATTTCAAGAGCCACAATGCACTCTGGTGAACATGAGAGGGATCTTTTGATTTAAAGCTTTCTTGACTGCAGTGATTAATATTCTTGGTTCTTTCGGTAAAGTCACGTTGAAGGGAAACAATAAAAGAATATATGTTTTATATATATTATTTTATTGTTTCCCTTCAACGTGACTTTACCGGAAGAACCAAGAATATGAGAGGGATCCTTAATAAATAACGTCACGACGCAGTACTTAAAGAGCCAGTTGCCGACCGCTGTGCCAGACTAATCACCATACCCGTTCATAATCTATACCGTGAACCTGTGGGACTCTGCCTTCTTTATACTCCATACTACCAGACTCTGGAATTCATTACCCACCTCTATCTGATGACTGTGAAAAGTTTTAAGTATAATGTCAACTCCTTTCCGCTCCTGACTCTTGTCCTGCTGACTGCGATTTCTTTCATGATAGGTGGAAGACCTTGCGTCAGTAACTCTTCCGATAAAGGAAGGCTAGTCGCGGCTTATCGTCACGCGTACGACTCGAGGCCACAACTCCGCCCCCCGGCGCACTTACGCCTCTGAACGGCGATGCCGTCGCATCTTTGTCCTCCGCTCTAAAGCAGGAGCAGTTGGCGGTACCCCCCCCCCCCCTGTGCGATAACCCCGAAAGCCGTAGGCGGACCGTGTCGGCTTGGCACAAACTGGCTCGGCGGAAGTGAGCGGCGGGCGCCAGGCTTGGCGGTTTCGGCATACCAGCGGTAGGCCGTCGCTCCACACGAAATCGCGCTCAACGGCCCGGTCGTTGAGTCCAATCCACTGGTAGTCATCGGCGAGACCTGGGAGAGGTTTAACCAGAAGCACACTCTCAGCGACGTCCGTGCGCGTGCCGTTGTCTCTTGCGGCGGCGCTGCGTGCCCGTGCAGGCAGACGCCGCAATCATTATGACAGCTTCGTCACAATGCAGGAGAGGTCACCGATTGGTGGCCCACAACTTGCGGTGTTTAAACAACAACATTAGGGCACGCAATTAGCCAGATTAATGTTAGAAACTAGTAGAATTGTTCAACATTATGAATCGAACCATTTCTAGCTGCAGCTCGGTTAGAATTGAGAAGAGGTCATGAATTGGTTAATTGCGAACAGCAAATGCGTGGTATTTTAAAAGAGCACACAATTTTCCAGGTTGACGTTATAAATGATGAGTGGATTTGTTTAAATCTATGAATCAAACCGGTGTGATAAGCTCTGTGTATGACGTGACAACAACTCTGTATTGGATGGCTCCAGGGCTTCTGTATTAAAATTTAATGATACAAGGCTTTTGTGTTGGATTAGACTTAAGTTTTGCATCAGATGGGTCAAAGATATCCCATTGGTCATGTTTAGTGTGGCTGGTTTGTCAATATCCACTTTCACATGAGGCTGTATTATCTACTAACCTGTAAAGCAATGACGAAGCCAGTGTTCTTCACTAATGTTCAGAGGGGGGGCACTTTCGCCGATAGGACATCATCAGTGTGAGGGCCGCCACACATTTGAAACTATTGTTGGGTTTGACAGCAGCACGATGATGATGATGGGGTGGTGTTTTTACTCCGTGTGTATTGCCGGGGGCCGCACGGCAGGGGCCGCACTAAAGGCCACCAGTGGCCCGCGGGCCTTGCAAATGAAGAACATTGGACTAACCTCTCAAGCACAAGAACCACAATACCACATTTATTATTGCATCTGAAGCTGAATCCATCACAGGCTGCACCGGTGTGGGGCTGCACCAGCCAAACAGAAACTGCTTGGGCATGCGGTGGCTGGGCATGCGGGATATGTGACCCAGCCAAGGCAGCCTCGCTTGCCGGAGGAGCTCACTGACGGGACTTTGGATGGTTGCGTGGTGGCGTTGGGGGGGGGGGGGGAGTTATGGGGGAGGGTCAGCGGTAGGGGGGGTTCGGGGGATGCGGCCACACCGGTGATGAAGACGTGCTCCTCGGGCGAGTTGATGCTGGCGAGGTGAGCCCCGCGGGCGCGGCAGGCGGCCTCTGCCTCCGCCCAGGAGCGGAGGCGCCCCTCGTGGCGGTAGCACTGCGAGCGGAACTTGCGCCACCCGGCGGGGCAGCTCGCAGAGTCTGCGGTGGGAGCACGTGCGCGCGCAGATGCAGATGTGCACACGCGCGGGCGCAAGGGCACGCGCACGCAAGCGCGAACACGTGAGACGGAGATATAATTAGCCAAATTAGAAAATGAACCTGGAAATCACTCATCAGATAGAGGTAGGTAATGAATACCAGAGTCTGGTAGTATGGAGTATAAAGAAGGCAGAGTCCCACAGGTTCACGGTATAGATTATGAACGGGTATGGTGATTAGTCTGGCACAGCGGTCGGCAACTGGCTCTTTAAGCGGAATGCATTTCACGCAGACACGCACACGCGTCACGGGCACACGCCTAGACGCAGCTATGCACGGCAACGTGCATGCACACGCGGACAGATACAAACACAAGCATGCACGGAGGCACACAAAGATACATTCCCACACACACAGAAAGACAAAAAACACAGCAAAATACAAAGGATCCCCCGTATAGCCTGAGCAGACTGTAGGGGCAAGTGATGTTAACAAACACCTATGAAGGCCGGCACGGCACACGAGGGGGTGGGTGGCCAACACCACGCCCGGCCGCCTTTGTCTCCCCAGTGGCGATGTTTACACACCGCAGCAAGGTACTCATTTGAGGCTGAGTCGATCTAGGGGAGGCCCAGGACCGGTTCAGATAATCGTCACTGGTGTTGGCCATGAGCGGGTCGCCTGGTTCATAGTGCTGCGTGGCGCTAACCACTACACCACCGCTCCCCAGACATGCGCGCGTGAACACACACAGACACAAGCACACGGAGACACAGACACACACAAGCACACACAGACACACAGACACAAGCACACGGAGACACAGACACACACAAGCACACACAGACACACAGACACAAGCACACGGAGACAGACACGCACACAGAGACACAGACACACACACAGACACACAGACAGACACACACAGAGACACAGACACACAGACACAAGCACACAGAGACACAGACACAAGCACACGAAGACACAGACACACACAGACACACGCACACAGAGACACAGACACACACAGACACACGCACACAGGCACACAGACACACGCACACAGACACACAGACAGACACACAGACAGACACAGACACACACAGACACAAGCACACAGACACACACAGACACACAACGGGGAAGGCTCTAAATCCGCCTCTGGCTGTCATCGCCACGACGGCGATGTTGACGATGGGGTCCCAGGACCGTACCGAGCTCGCAGAGTCGTCCGTGGTAGCTGGGCAGGCAGAGGCAGCTGAAGGTGGCGGCTCCCCCCGGGGACTCCACGCACGTGGCCCCGTGATGGCACGGCTCCGGCAGACACTGGTCCACGCCTGCGTCACGTGCCCGCCAGCCAGCGCACAGACAAAACACAGCGATCCCTTAGCTCGTTCGCTATGCATGCAGGCTGTTGCGGGGACATGTTGTTAGCGAGCACCTATTAGGGGCGGCCCGCTGCACGAGGAAGTGGTGCAGGGATATGAAAACAACAAATAAAATGCCTGACCGCCTTTGTCTCCCTAGTTATATATTGTACAGGTATTCGTTTCGGGCTAAGTCGACCTCGATAATTGCCATTAGCCGTGGCTGACAATCGAACTAACCGATGCGCCATCCCTCCCCCCCCACACACGCAGACAACAACAACAGCAGCTGTTGTTGTTCTCCCACAGTAGCGGTGACGTCACCACAGCGCTTGTGCCAGGCTATGTGCACTGTGAGGCATCGTGAAGTGTCGAATGCTTGCTGGCAGCTTCACGGCACAGACCAGGTGTGATGACTGCCTGTGATGATTGACAGGTGGTGCATCACCTGTGATGATTGACAGGTGGTACATCACCTGTGATGATTGACAGGTGGTACATCACCTGTGATGACTAACAGGTACATCACCTGTTATGATTGACAGATGGTACATCACCTGTGATGATTGACAGGTGGTGCATCACCTGTGATGATTGACAGGTGGTGCATCACCTGTGATGATTGACAGGTGGTGCATCACCTGTGATGACTGACAGGTGGTGCATCACCTGTGATGACTGACAGGTGGTGCATCACCTGTGATGACTGACAGGTACATCATCTGTGATGATTGACAGGTGGTACATCACCTGTGATGATTGACAGGTGGTGCATCACCTGTGATGATTGACAGGTGGTGCATCACCTGTGATGACTGACAGGTGGTGCATCACCTGTGATGACTGACAGGTGGTGCATCACCTGTGATGACTGACAGGTGGTGCATCACCTGTGATGACTGACAGGTGGTGCATCACCTGTGATGATTGACAGGTGCATCACCTGTGATGATTGACAGGTGGTGCATCACCTGTGATGATTGACAGGTGGTGCATCACCTGTGATGACTGACAGGTGGTGCATCACCTGTGATGATTGACAGGTGGTACATCACCTGTGATGACTGACAGGTACATCATCTGTGATGATTGACAGGTGGTGCATCACCTGTGATGATTGACAGGTGGTGCATCACCTGTGATGATTGACAGGTGGTGCATCACCTGTGATGATTGACAGGTGGTGCATCACCTGTGATGATTGACAGGTGGTGCATCACCTGTGATGATTGACAGGTGGTGCATCACCTGTGATGACTGACAGGTGGTGCATCACCTGTGATGATTGACAGGTGGTGCATCACCTGTGATGATTGACAGGTGGTGCATCACCTGTGATTATTGACAGGTCATACATCACCCGTGATGATTGACAGGTCGTGCATCACCTGTGCTCCCCGCTGTGCTAACTCGCCGTGTTTTAGCCGCCCAGCGCTCCGCTCGTTGTTGTGAGTGACGTAGACACACACGAAGTAAAAAAACAAAAAATTGATTTCCCTATTTTGTCTTCAAACCCATTATACAACAATAACTACTTTGTATACCCTACATTTAAGACAGTCCTCGACTTACAAACGGATCTTGGGAACTAATTAGGTTCGTAAACTGAGGACTTCCCGTACTGTTTTAGCTTATCCAAATTAGTATTTTATCCACGCCACCTCTCTCTCCCACTGTTATACCCCAGAGAGTGGAGGGTTGGTTTTTAAATTTTGAGAAAGGATGAAACGCAAACAGAAAATAAACAAAAGTCGGCTGGCGTTGGTGGAGCGTTGGTGGAGCGTTGGTGGAGCGTTGGTGGAGTGTTGGTGGAGCGTTGGTGTAGCGATGGTGGAGCGTTGTCTGCCCGGAGATGCGGAGAGGCACTCACCGATCTCACAGGAGTCTCCGGTGAACCCCGGTGGACACTCGCACACAAAGAGGTCCCCGCGGGGGGAGCATGAGCCCCCGTTCTGGCACGGGGATGCAGCACAAGGCCCCGGGTTACCTGCAACAAAGACAAAGATCCCCGTGTAGCCTTAACAGACTTTTGGGGCAAACGCTGTTTGTGAGCACCTATGAAGGCCAGCACAGCACACGAGGGGGTGGGTGGCCAGCATCACGCCCAGCCGCCTTTGGCTCCTGAGTGGCGATGTTTACACACCGCACCAGGTACTCATTTGAGGCTGAGTCGACCTAGGGGACTCAGCCTCATGTTGTTGCTAGTGTTGGCTGTGAGCGGGAACCCCCACGTATATCCTTAACAGACTGTTGGGGCAAGTGCTGTTAGCGAGAACACAACGCACACACACACACATACACACGCACCTTCAGGCACGATGGGCTGCCCCTGGTCTGGAACTTCAGCTGCCCAGTCCACTTGTGGGAACACGTGCCCCCCATGAAACACGTGCCCCCCATGGAACACGTGCCCCCCATGGAACACGTGATCCCCATGGTGCTGTGGCGCCAGCGCCCAGGGGTGGAACCCGCTGAGCCAGGCCCATGGCCCACCCTGGTGGGGCGGCCACGGTGAGCCTGGCGTGTTTGGGCGACGCGGCCGAGGCTGGTGGTTGACGCTCGGCGGGAGCATGTTGTCCAGATAACGCTGGCGGGCCACCTCCGCACCGTTCACCTCAAAGAGGCTGCCGCCACCGCCCTTCACCGGGATGTCCCGGTGGCGCTCGGGGCCGGCGTGGGCATCCGTGTCGTCGCAGTCGCTCTCGCCGTGGTCGCCGTGGTCGCCGTGGGCAGGATGGCTGGGCTCTTCTGGACGCTCGCCAGCACGACCGTCGCCAACGTCCTCTTCGACGTGGTCAACTTCTCCGTCAACCTTGTCGACTTCGTCAGAGTGGTCAACTTCTTCCTCAACCTGTTCAACATCCCCATCAACATCATCAACCTCTTCAGGTACACTTTCAGTGTCGACGTGGTCCACATCTCCATCGACATGATCACCTTCATCAACGTGTTCAGTGTCTATGTGGTCAACTTCTTCATCAACGTGTTCAGTGTCTATGTGGTCAACTTCTTCATCAACATGCTCGTTGTCTATGTGGTCAACCTCTCCATCAACATCGCCACCGTCTCCATGGTCGCCATCACCGTTGACACCAATGCCAGACCCGCCAAGGTCCTCGCAGTTGATATTACCGCATTCCACTTCACCGTGATCCTCGTTGCCATGGTCACCATCGCCACGGTCACCTTCTCCATGGTCCTCGTCGTCACACTCAATTTCACCATAAGCATCAACACCGCGATCGTCTCCTTCGGCGTCACCACCACCGCCGTCGCCATAACCACCGTAATCACAGTCGATGCCACCATTGGGACCTACATCGCCATGCTCCTCGTCTCCATGGGCACGGGGGTCACCGGGTGCAGGTGTGCTGGGTACAGCACACCTGTGCATGGGTGGGGAAGTCATGGGCGGTGTGGGGTCTGCCGAAGTGAGCCGGGTGTCCTCCACAAGTGCCGGGGTTACAGGTGGGATATATTCTTCCTCAGGCGAGATGTATTCTAACTCAGATGGAGTTTGTTCTGCCTCAGGTGAGATTAATTCAGAGTCGGGTGTGACTTGTTCTGCCTCCGGTTCTGACTCGGGAGGGATTTGTTCTGGTTCAGGTGAGATGTTTTCTGCCTCAGGTTCTGACTCGGGTGTGACTTGTTCTGCCTCAGGTTCTGACTCGGGAGGGATTTGTTCTGGTTCAGGTGAGATGTTTTCTGCCTCAGGTTCTGACTCGGGTGTGACTTGTTCTGCCTCAGGTTCTGACTCAGGAGGGATTTGTTCTGGCTCAAATGGGACTTGTTCTGACTCAAGTTCTGGTTCATGTGGGACTTGTTCCGACTCAGGCAAGATGTGTTCTGGTTCAGGCGAGATATGTTCTGGCTCAGATGGCGTTTGTTCTGCCTCTGGTGATATGAATTCAGACTTGGGTGTGACTTGTTCTGCCTCAGTTTCTGACTCAGGTATGACTTGTTCTGCCTCAGGTTCTGACTCAGGTATGACTTGTTCTGCCTCAGGTTCTGACTCAGGTATGACTTGTTCTGCCTCAGGTTCTGACTCAGGTATGACTTGTTCTGCCTCAGTTTCTGACTCAGGTATGACTTGTTCTGCCTCAGGTTCTGACTCAGGGGAAATGTGTTCCATTTCAAGTGGGGCTTGTTCTGTTAAAGGTTGATTGAACTCTATTAAATGATGACAGTCCTCCAATTCAGGTGAAAAGTGTTCTGACTCGTGCGAGGTCTGTTCTGTTTCAGGTGAGATGTGTCCTGTCTCAAGTGGGGGTTGTTCTGTTAAAGGTTGATGGAGGTCTGTTCTATGTTCTATTATGTGATGACAGTCCTCCAATTTAGGTGATATGTGTTGTAATTCAGGTTCTGGCTCAGATGGGATGTGTTCTGACTCAAGTTGTGACTCAGGTGGGATTTGTTCTGTTTCAGGTGCGATGTATTTTGACTCAAGTTCTGATTCAGGTGGGATTGTATCTGAATCAAGTTCTGACTCAGGAGGGATTTGTTCTGATTCAAGTTCTGACTCAGGTGGGATTTTATCTGACTCAAGTTCTAACTCAGGAGGGATTTGTTCAGCTTCAGGTTCTGACACAGGAGGGATTTGTTCTGCCTGAGGTTCTGACACAGGAGGGATTTGTTCTGCCTCAGGTTCTGACACGGGAGGGATTTGTTCTGCCTCAAGTTCTGACACAGGAGGGATTTGTTCTGCCTCAGGTTCTGACACAGGAGGGATTTGTTCTGCCTCAGGTTCTGACACGGGAAGGATTTGGTCCGCCTCAGGTTCTGACTTAGGTGGGATTTGTTCTTGCTCAGATGATATGTCTTCTGGCTCAGGTATGAATTGTTCTGGCGCAGGTGGGATTTGTTCCATTTCAAGTGTGGTTTGTTCTATGTAGGGAGAACAGTCCTCTGATACAGGTGAGATGTGTTCTGACTCAGAAGGGAATTGTTCTGTCTCAGGGGGAACTTGTTCTGACACAGCAGGGATTTCTTCTATCTGAGTTTTGCACTCAGGAGGGATTTGTTCTGCCTCAGGTTCTGACTCAGCAGGGATTTGTTCTGCCTCAAGTTCTGACTCAGGAGGGATTTGTTCTGCCTCAGGTTCTGACTCAGCAGGGATTTGTTCTGCTTCAAGTTCTGACTCAGGATGGATTTGTTCTGCCTCAGGTTCTGACTCAGCAGGGATTTGTTCTGCCTCAGGCTGTGACTCAGGAGGGATTTGTTCTGCCTCAGGTTCTGACTCAGCAGGGATTTGTTCTGCCTCAGGTTCTGACTCAGCAGGGATTTGTTCTGCCTCAGGATCTGACTCAGGAGGCATTTGTTCTGCCTCAGGTTCTGACTCAGCAGGGATTTGTTCTGCCTCAAGGTCTGACTCAGCAGGGATTTGTTCTGCCTCAGGCTCTGACTCAGGAGGGATTTGTTCTGCCTCAAGTTCTGACTCAGCAGGGATTTGTTCTGCCTCAAGGTCTGACTCAGCAGGGATTTGTTCTGCCTCAAGGTCTGACTCAGCAGGGATTTGTTCTGCCTCAGGTTCTGACTCAGGTGGGATTTGTTCTGCCTCAAGTTCTGACTCAGCAGGGATTTGTTCTGCCTCAAGTGCTGACTCAGCAGGGATTTGTTTTGCCTCAAGTTCTGACTCAGGTGGGATTTGTTCTGTCTCAAGTTCTGACCCAGGATGGATTTGTTCTGCCTCAAGTTCTGACTCAGGAGGGATTTGTTCTGCCTCAGGCTCTAACTCAAGAGGGATTTGTTCTGCCTCAGGTTCTGACTCAGCAGGGATTTGTTCTGACTCAGGTTCTGACTCAAGAGGGATTTGTTCTGCCTCAGGCTCTGACTCAGCAGGGATTTGTTCTGCCTCAGGCTCTGACTCAAGAGGGATTTGTTCTGCCTCAGGCTCTGACTCAGCAGGGATTTGTTCTACGTAAGGAGAACAGTCCTCTGATACAGGTGAGATGTGTTCCATCTCTGGTAGCATGTGTTCTGTCTCAGGTGAGCTGTGTTCTACGTCCAGTAGGGGTTGTTCTGTTAGTGGTTGATTGAGTTCTATTAAATAATGACAGTCCTCTAATGCAGGTGAGATGTGTTCTGTTTCAGGTGGGATTTGTTCTGCCTCAGCAGGAATTTGTTCTTCCTCAGGTTCTGACTCAGGAGGGCTTTGTTCTGCCTCAGGTTCTGACTCAGCAGGGATTTGTTCTGCCTCAGGTTCTGACTCAGGTGGGATTTGTTCTGCCTCAAGTTCTGACTCAGGTGGGATTTGTTCTGCCTCAGGTTCTGACTCAGCAGGGATTTGTTCTGCCTCAGGTTTTGACTCAGCAGGGATTTGTTCTGCCTCAGGTTCTGACTCAGGAGGGATTTGTTCTGCCTCAGGTTCTGGCTCAGGAAGGATTTGGTCTGCCTCAAGTTCTGACTCAGCAGGGATTTGTTCTGCCTCAGGTTCTGGCTCAGGAGGGATTTGTTCTGCCTCAGGTTCGGACTCAGGAGGGATTTGTTCTGCCTCAAGTTCTGACTCAGGAGGGATTTGTTCTGCCTCAGGTTCTGACTCAGGAGGGACTTGTTCTGCCTCAGGTTCTGACTCAGGTGGGATTTGTTCTGCCTCAGGTTCTGACTCAGCAGGGATTTGTTCTACGTAAGGAGAACAGTCCTCTAATACAGGTGAGATGTGTTCCATCTCTGGTAGCATGTGTTCTGTCTCAGGTGAGCTGTGTTCTACGTCCAGTAGGGGTTGTTCTGTTGGTGGTTGATTGAGTGCTATTAAATAATGACAGTCCTCTAATGCAGGTGAGATGTTTCCTGTTTCAGGTGGGATTTGTTCTGCCTCACCAGGGATTTGTTCTATCTCAAGTTCTGACTCAGGATGGATTTGTTCTGCCTCAAGTTCTGACTCAGGAGGGATTTGTTCTGCCTCAAGTTCTGACTCAGGAGGGATTTGTTCTGCCTCAGGCTCTGACTCAGGAGGGATTTGTTCTGCCTCAAGTTCTGACTCAGAAGGGATATGTTCTGCCTCAGGCTCTGACTCAGCAGGGATTTGTTCTGCCTCAGGTTCTGACTCAGGAGGGATTTGTTCTGCCTCGGGTTCTGACTCAGGTGGGATTTGTTCTGCCTCAGGCTCTGACTCAGCAGGGATTTGTTCTGCCTCAGGCTCTGACTCAGCAGGGATTTGTTCTGCCTCAAGTTCTGACTCAGGAGGGCTTTGTTCTGCCTCAGGTTCTGACTCAGGAGGGATTTGTTTTGCCTCAGGTTCTGACTCAGGTGGGATTTGTTCTGCCTCAGATTCTGACTCAGCAGGGATTTGTTCTGCCTCAGATTCTGACTCAGCAGGGATTTGTTCTGTCTCAGGTTCTGACTCAGGAGGGATTTGTTCTGCCTCAGGTTCTGACTCAGCAGGGATTTGTTCTGCCTCAGATTCTGACTCAGCAGGGATTTGTTCTGCCTCAGGTTCTGACTCAGCAGGGATTTGTTCTATGTAAGGAGAACAGTCCTCTGATACAGGTGAGATGTGTTCCATCTCTGGTAGCATGTGTTCTGTCTCAGGTGAGCTGTGTTCTATGTCCAGTAGGGGTTGTTCTGTTGGTGGTTGATTGAGTTCTATTAAATAATGACAGTCCTCTAATGCAGGTGAGATGTTTTCTGTTTCAGGTGGGATTTGTTCTGCCTCAGCAGGAATTTGTTCCATCTCAAGTTCTGACTCAGGATGGATTTGTTCTGCCTCAAGTTCTGACTCAGGAGGGATTTGTTCTGCCTCAGGCTGTGACTCAGGAGGGATTTGTTCTGCCTCAGGTTCTGACACAGGAGGGATTTGTTCTGCCTCAGGTTCTGACCCAGGAGGGATTTGTTCTGCCTCAAGTTCTGACTCAGGTGGAATTTGTTCTGCCTCAGGTTCTGACTCAAGAGGGATTTCCTCCATCTCAAGTTCTGACTCAGGATGGATTTGTTCTGCCTCAAGTTCTGACTCAGGAGGGATTTGTTCTGCCTCAGGTTCTGACTCAGGAAGGATTTGTTCTGCCTCAAGTTCTGACTCAGGTGGGATTTGTTCTGTCTCAAGTTCTAACCCAGGAGGGATTTGTTCTGCCTCAGGTTCTAACTCAGGAGGGATTTGTTCTGCCTCAAGTTCTGACTCAAGAGGGATTTGTTCTGCCTCAAGTTCTGACTCAGGTGGGATTTGTTCTGTCTCAAGTTCTGACCCGGGAGGGATTTGTTCTGGCTCAAGTTCTGACTCAGCAGGGATTTGTTCTGCCTCAAGTTCTGACTTAGGAGGGATTTGTTCTGCCTCAGGTTCTGACTCAGGAGGGATTTGTTCTGCCTCAAGTTCTGACTCAGGTGGGATTTGTTCTGTCTCAAGTTCTGACCCAGGAGGGATTTGTTCTGCCTCAGGTTCTAACTCAGGAGGGATTTGTTCTGCCTCAAGTTCTGACTCAAGAGGGATTTGTTCTGCCTCAGGTTCTGACTCAAGAGGGATTTGTTCTGCCTCAAGTTCTGACTCAGGTGGGATTTGTTCTGGCTCAAGTTCTGACTCAGCAGGGATTTGTTCTACGTAAGGAGAACAGTCCTCTAAAACAGGTGAGATGTGTTCCATCTCTGGCAGCATGTGTTCTGTCTCAGGTGAGCTGTGTTCTATGTCCAGTAGGGGTTGTTCTGTTGGTGGTTGATTGAGTTCTATTAAATAATGGCAGTCCTCTAATGCAGGTGAGATGTGTTCTGTTTCAGGTGGGATTTGTTCTGCCTCACCAGGGATTTGTTCCATCTCAAGTTCTGACTCAGGAGGGCTTTGTTCTGCCCCAGGTTTTAACTCAGGAGGGATTTGTTCTAACTCAGGTTCTGACTCAGGCGGGACTTGTTCTGACTCAGGTGAGATATGTTCTGGCTCAGGTGGGACTTGTTCTGACTCAGGTAAAATGTGTTCTGGTTCAGGTAGGACTTGTTCTAACTCAGGTTCTGACTCAGGTGGGACTTGTTCTGACTCAGGTGAGATATGTTCTGGCTCAGGTGGGACTTGTTCTGACTCAGGTAAAATGTGTTCTGGTTCAGGTGGGACTTGTTCTGACTCAGGTAAAATGTGTTCTGGTTCAGGTGGGATTTGTTCTGGCTCAGGTTCTGACTCAGGTGGGACTTGTTCTGGCTCAGGTGAGATATGTTCTGGCTCAGGTGGGACTTGTTCTGACTCAGGTAAAATGTGTTCTGGTTCAGGTGGGATTTGTTCTAACTCAGGTTCTGACTCAGGTGGGACTTGTTCTGGCTCAGGTGAGATATGTTCTGGCTCAGGTGGGACTTGTTCTGGCTCAGGTGAGATATGTTCTGGCTCAGGTGGGACTTGTTCTGACTCAGGTAAAATGTGTTCTGGTTCAGGTGGGATTTGTTCTAACTCAGGTTCTGACTCAGGCGGGACTTGTTCTGGCTCAGGTGAGATATGTTCTAGCTCAGGCGGGACTTGTTCTGACTCAGGTAAAATGTGTTCTGGTTCAGGTGGGACTTGTTCTAACTCAGGTTCTGAATCAGGTGGGACTTGTTCTGATTCAGGTGAGATGTGTTCTGGCTCAGGTGGGATCTGTTCTAGTTCCACCGGGGATTGATCCATTAAAGGTGGACTTAATTCTAGCAAAGGTGAGCAGTTCTCTAATGCAGGTGATAAGTGTTCAGGCGAGCCATTATCCATCTCAGGCGAGCTGTGTTCTGCTTCGTGTGTGGTGTGTTGTGTTATACCTGAACTGTGTTCAGTTGCAATTGGGGGGGTCTGTTCGGTTAAAGGTGAAGCCGGCTCTACAATAGGTTGGCAGTTTTCTACTGCAGGTGTCCCATGCTTTGTTGCCGGTAAAATAGTTTCTGTTACAGCTGGACTGAGTTCTGTTACAGTAAGAGTCTGCTCAACCAATCGTGAACTGTGTTCAGTTTTAGCTTCACTCTCCTCTGCTGCAGGTGGGCTGAGTTCCATCTCAGGTGAGCTTTGTTCAGCTACAGCTTCACTCTCTTCTACTGCAAGTGGGCTGAGTTCCAACTCAGGTGAGCTTTGTTCAGCTACAGCTTCACTCTCCTCTACTGCAGGTGAGCTGAGTTCCATCTCAGGTGAGCTTTGTTCAGCTACAGCTTCACTCTCCTCTATTGCAGGTGAGCTGAGTTCCAACTCAGGTGAGCTCTGTTCAGCTACAGCTTCACTCTCCTCTACTGCAGGTGAGCTGTGTTGCAGCTCAGCTGAACCGTGTTCAGTTACAACCACAGTCTGCTCCAATGAATTGGCGCAGTGGCTCCTCTGATGCGCAACGCGTTCCACGTCGGCCCAACCGTGCTCCGTCCCAGTCGTGCGCTGCTCCCCCGTCACAGCTGGGCCGTCCGCTCCACCCCAAACGGGGCCGATGACGGCCGCCGGTGGCGGCCCGTCGTCGACCGGCGCGCCGCTCGCCTGCGCCCAGCGGTCCCCGGGCGGCGCGGCGGCGTGCGGCCCGGTCACGGGCGGGGCGGTCCGCGGGTCGAAACCGGGGCCCTTCTGCCACTCGACGGCGGGCGAGGGGCGCGCGGCAGACGCGGGCGGCGGCGGCGTTCCGGCAGCAGGCGAGCCGTACGTCTCGTAGGCCGGCGTGTGGCGGACGTCAAGGGCGGCAGTGCTCTGGTCCGCGGTCGCGGGTGAGTTGTGAGTTTCGGCGCCGGATGAGTCGTACGTCTCGGTCACGGGCAGGTCGGACGATGGGCGAGTCTCGGTTACAGGTGTGGCAAGTAAGTCATGGAAGTCGGTCACGGGTGAGAGAGGTGAGTCGTCATACTCAGTCACAGGAACGTCAGGCGCACTATGAGACTCAGTCACAGGTGAGTCGTGAGTCTCAGTCGCAGGCGACTCAGCAGCCTCAGTTATAGGTGAGTCAGGTGAGTTGTAAGTCTCAGTTCCAGGCAAGTCATGAGTCTCAATCACAGGTGAGTCGGGTGAGTCATGAGTCTCAGTTGCGGGTGATTCAAGAATCTCTACCCCGGAGGAACTGTGAGTCTCAGTCAAAGGTGATTGACACACCTTGATAACAGGTGAGTCATAAGTCTCCGTCATAAGTGAGTCATGTGCCTCAGTCACAGGTAACATGGGTACATCATACATCTCAGTCACAGGTAAGACAGGTAAAGCATATAATTCAGTCATGGGTGAGTCGTTAGTCTCAGTCAATGGTGATTCATGAACTTCGGTCAGTGATGCATCATGAGTCTCAGCCACAGGTGGGAAAGGTGAGCCATTAATCTCTAACACAGTCACAGGTGAGCCACGAATCTCGGCCAATGGTGAGTCGTGGGTTTCAACTCCAGAGAAGTCGAGATTTTCAGTCGCAGTTGAGTCACGAATCTCGACGCCCAAGGAGTAGTCGGTCTCAATCGCAGGTGAGTCGAGGATCTCTACACCAGAGGAATGGTCGGTCTCAATCGCAGGTGAGTCGAGGATCCCTACGCCAGAGGAGTAGTCGGTCCCGGTCAGAGGCGAGCTACACATGTCAGCGTCGTGCGTCTCGCTTGCGGGTGGCGACGCCCGCTCCTCCAGCGCCGCAGGCCTCACGTGGCAGTACGCGGCGTAGCGTGAGTCCGGCGCCGGGAAGCCCGTGTGGTTGCCGTGGCGATGCACGGCACGCACGCCGCCGGGCCCGCCGCCGCCACCGCCGCATCCGGGCCTTGGTCGCACGACGGGGAAGCGCGCGCTGCCGTCGGCGAGCCAGCCGGCGTCGCAGCGGTCCAGGCCGGCCTTGCGGGCGAGCTGCAGGCTCCCCACGGTGGCCAGGCTGGCGGTGGCTCCGTGCTCGGCGCACGCCCGGTGGGCCTCGCTCAGCGAGAAGCGGCCCGGGGCGCTCACGTGCAGCACCTCGCCTGAGCCCAGCACATGCCGGGGCGGAGGAGACGCGCGTGAACGGCGCAGCTCGACAGCCGCTGGGGTTAACTAAAGCCACACGATATTTTTATTTGTATTTTACCAGGTGACGCCAACCGAGCTGTATAAAAAAAAACTGCTGGGGCAAGTGCTGTTAGCGAGCACCGACGAAGGCCGGCACTGTGGCACCGGGTACTCATGCGAGGCTGAGTCTGAACTATTAAACAACTATTTTTAATATTACCAGGTAAGGCCCACTGAGCGATGTAGCTCTCTTTCAGAAGTTACCTTGTCACAGCGAAGTGGCTTATCACGTGGAAAGGTACACTAGTAATCATCGAACAATGACGGTCACCGCATCGCGCGCTTTCAGACGCGCTTCTGTGGCCGTCTGGAACGCTCTTCCCTTCGAGATTAGGAAGCCGCTGGAGCTATGCACTCTTACATCATCTAGATTGAAAACTCATTTATTTAGAACTCCTTTTTTTTGTTTAGTTTGTTGTCCTTCCCTCGCACCTCCAACGAGCACGGTTGGCTACGTACGGTGGGAAAGAAGATCAACATACGTACAAAGGGACAGGTATGTGTTTCAGCCCGCACGTGACCCTTGCCCCACTCGGCCGTGCTCACCTTGAAGCTTCTCGGCATAGCAGTAGGCGTCGTAGGTCTCGCTCGGGTCGCGGACGCCATACGAGCGGATGCCCGGGAATCCGTTCTTGTCGCCCTCGCACGAGGCTCGCGGGTCAACGATTGGGTACCTGCACGCACGCACACACGCAAGCACACATGCACGCGCACACACACGCGCACACACGCGCACGCACGCGCGCACACGCAGATACACGCAGTCACGTGGGCAGCAGAGCCACGCGAGTCACGGCGCCACCTCGAGTCGCTTGTGGCGCAACGGCGGCGACGCCGTCGCAGATTCGAACACAGACTTCATGCACCGGGCAGCTGCCGCTCTACAGTTTGCTGCTGTGCGCGATGCTGCTACGGTGGCGAGGTGTTCACAACCTCGCCTGCTACACAGGAGGTCGTGGGTTCGATCCCCACCCTGATGACTGCTGCTGCTGTATTTTTGGAGTATGCGTGTCTCTCTCTCATCATCATCATCACGGTGGCTAGGAGATGTTCACGACCTCGCCTGCTACACAGGAGGTCGTGGGTTCGATCCCCACCCTGATTACTGCTGCTGCTGCTGTATATTTGGAGTTTGCGTGTCTCTCTCTCATCATCATCATCATCACGGTGGCTAGGAGATGTTAACTACCTCGCCTGGTATACAGGAGGTCGTGGGTTCGATCCCCACCCTGATGACTGCTGCTGCTGTATATTTGGAGTTTGCGTGTCTCTCTCCCAATGATCGCGTGGAATTTACTCCGGGTCCTCCGATTTTTCCCTCGACATTTAAAAAAAACGTGCGTTTATAATATTTGGCTGCTGTAAATTTCCAGACAATAATAAGCCACTTTCTTGAGCTATCATTTGTGGCCAGGTCACTTCTGAAAAAGAGCTGTATAGCTCAGTGGGTTTTACCAGGTAAAATAAAAAAAACTAGCAACCTGTGAGCATTAACTATGTAATCGCTGGTAACATTGACCATCCCCGTGACATTCCCACTTCTAGTTCGCTGTTTGGCCTTTGGAATCGACGAAGGTGAGCGGCGCAGGCAGCGACTGGCGACAAAGTGACACACGCAGCTTTATCCGTATAAAGTCAAAGTATGAATTTATAATGAAGTATGCGCTAAACTTAAATCGATGTTTATACAATACATGGGGCCGCGTGTGAATCTGGCAATAACCCAACGTGACCCAATACGGACCTGACCCAGACCCCTTGCCTGGCACCCACTAGGACGTGGCGATGCCTTTTATATGTTTGGAGTTTGCTTGTTTTCTCTCTCCCCGTGGTGGTGATGTGGATTTTTCTCTGGGTCCCTCCAGTTTTGCCCTCCACATTTAGAGACGTGTGTTCATATTATTTGCCTATTCCTATACATTGTCACGTGTGATGATGATGATGATATGAGCCACTGTCGATGAGCTATCACACGTGGCCCGGACGCCTCTGCCAAATAACCGTCAGCTCTGTGGGCTTTACATGGTACATGGTAAATCATAAGTAATCGTAGCCATTCAGTGTCTCATCGGCAGAGTCAGGATCAATGCTTGAACCAATGTTGGCGGACTGCCAGATGGGTATCGGCAGGGACCCTTCTCGAGAGGTGAGATGTAGGTCCGAGTTTGACGCTAAAACTATTATTGAGATTGAGCGAGGCACTCATAACGGGTAAAGAAAGAGAAGGCATTCAGAGTAGGTGGGTAACATCTCACCACGGTGGTGAGATGTTACCTGCCTCGCCTGGTAGATGGGAGGGCATGGGTTTCATCCCGACCCTGATACCTCCTCCTGTATATTTGGTGTTTGGGCGTTCTCTGCGTGGTCGCGTAGATGTTTCTCCGGGCCGTCCGGTTTTCCCCTCCACATTTAACAAACAAACATTTAAGAGTGTTTGGCTGTGAAAAATGTCCACGTGATAAGCCACTTCGTTGAGCTATCAATGGTGAAAGCCAGGTCGCTTCGGAAAAAAAAATCTACGTCGCTCAGCGGGCCTTACCTGGTAAAAAAAAACCGCTTACATTAACAAAAAAAATAGTTGATTGCAAAAGATTGAGCAGACAGAGGATTGTGATTGAGCGCAGGAGTGATGCTGGCTACGGAACGAGAACCACGGCAGGGAAACGCTTTCAGCCCCATCACCTCTCACGACCCGACGGAAGGGGACAGACGACGACGACGATGGCGACGATCTTGATGACGTTCACAGCTCATCCCAACCCCCCGACCCCGTACCACAACACCGCCCGGGGGCGCGCGGCACCCCAGGCAGGCGCGGACGCGCGCAGTACCTGACGGTGCCGTCACAGAGCCAGCCGGCGTCGCACTGGTGCAGCCCCCCGCTGTGCGCTGCCGCGAGCTGGGCCGGGGAGGCGAGGCGCCCCGACTGCTCGGCGCAGGCCCGGCGGGCCCCGGCCAGCGTGAACGCGTAGCGGCCGGCGGCCGCGCGGTAGTGGAAGACCACGCCTGCCGGGGGGGGGGGGGGGGGCACGCAGGGACACACGTCGCACGCACGGGGGGGGGGGGGGGAGACGTCCCGATCATTTGACTCAATTGGGAGAATGCACGGCCGCATCACCCCCCCCCCCACTCCTGAGAAAGCGACTGCGAGGCTGTGTCTGTGAACCGCAGCACCTGCGAATGTACGGCCTGTTCTCCTGTAACAAAGCGGCAGTTGCGGTCCTGAAGAACACCACGGTGTGGTAAATAATAAATAATAGAGGGGCAAAGCACAGTCCGCTGTAACACGTGAGATGCGTACGCAGGCGCGTGGGGAGCGTCTAGAAGCATCCAGCAGTATCCCGCTGCCTCGTGCGATGCTACGCCGAGGCAGCCGTCGTACAACCGCTGAATCGTACTCGCGCGACGTAGTTACGTTCACTCAATCGCGTGGCACCCAATTCGCATCCGCGTTATGAAAAGATGTGTTCCCAAATACGTTCTTCGCATTGCGTCCAATTCGCGTTCTGAAAGCAACACGCAGCGTTATAGAAGAACGGACTGAACGTATACATGGGGAGCGGTAGTGTCGCGGTTAGCGCGGTGCGCTACGAACCCGGCGGCACGAGTTCGATTGCCGCTCACGGCCAACATCAGTGACGATTATCTGAACCGGTCCTGGGCCTCCCCTAGGTCGACTCAGCCTGAACTTCTTTTGCACCGTACTTAGTCAACCGTCCTAGTTCGCTCCGTCCTCACAGCCTTGTGCCGTCACACGTGCCGTGTGACGGCATCGAAGCGGTCACTGCATCACCGTAACGCGCGCTTTCAGATGCGCCTCTGCGGCCGTCTGGAACGCTCTTCCTTCCGATATTAGGAAGCATGGTTGGCTACGTACGGTGAGAAAGAAGTTCAACATACATACATCTGGCTCGAAAGCTAATGTTAATTATTATCATTCATGATCAAGCCACTACCAGTCACATTGTATATATTTTTACAATGGGAGGAAACCAGATAACCCAGAGGAAACTCACAGGACAGCAGAGAAAGGTGCCCGAGTACGGAATTGACCCCAATAACTTATTGCTGTGAGGCATGAGCGTTACCCCTGCAGTGCCACCCAGCTGCCCGTGTAGCAGTGGGAGCACCAGCGAATGTACCAGTGAGTATTCCAGTGAATGTACCAGTGAATGTACCATGAGATTTCCTGCTTGTGTACCAGTGAGTATTCCTAGTGAGTCTACCAGTGGGTATTCCAGTGAGCGTACCAGCGATTGTACCATCAGAATTCCAGTGATTATTCCAGCGAGTGAGCGTCCAAAGTGTACCCCGCTAGCGTTTCGCTGAGTTGTGCTGGTGAGCACGCCGGACCACTCGCGGGCAACGCGGGCGCCGCGCCGGCCTGCCGGCCTGCCGGCCTTACCGTCCACGAGGAGCCGCGTGGTGGCCCTGGCGCTGCCGGACGCGAGCGCCACCTCGCACACGTAGAGCCCCGCGTCGGCGTCGAGCAGCCCGCTCAGCGTGAGCGTGGCAGCGCCGCCCCAGGGCCCGCCGCCGTCGGTGGCCAGGGACGCGCGCGGCACCAGCGCCGGCTGCACCAGCGTCTCCAGGCCCCGCGCCGCCGCCACGTCGCTCCGCCGCACGCCGTTGCGCCCCACGACGCCGAACCTGACCTCGGGGACGTCCCCGGCGGCCCACCCGGGCGGGTCGTCGTCGTCCGGGGTCGCATCCGGAGCGAGCTCCGAGCCGCCGTGGACGCGCCGGTAGTGGCAGGTGATGGAGACGCTGCCGCCCAGGGACGCGTAGGTGATGGGCCCTTCTGACAGCTGCACCTCCAGGTGGGCTTGGGACGGACGAAGAGAAGGGCAGACGTGCAAGGGCAAGTTCAAGGGGATGGACACACACACACGGACGCACATTTCAGACACGCGAGGATAGACATAGAGGGATAGATGGACGGATGCACATGGACACAAGACGAGAATTAACAAATATGGACAGACATGGATGTTGACGACACGTGAAGGGACACACACAGGGATGGATAGACGCAGGTTGGCACAGGTCCACGCGGACAGACACGCAAAGACAGACGCACGGTTATAGATGGAGAGACAGTGACAAGCATAGGCAGGTGACATGGGTGGACACACACACGGACGATCACAGACATACAAAACGGGATCGCATTGGTCAAATAATCGGATTCGTGAATGGATCGATTCACTCCACAGTGCGTGCAAGAGCCCTCACGACTCATCAGCTGTTGGTTAACTTTTCACAAACACACAACTGAGTATGTGAAATTGAATGAACGAGAACATCAACCATGACAGCAGTAATATTTATATTCATATTCTTAGCTCCTTCGGTAAAGTCACGATGAAGGGAAACAATAAAATATATATAAAACAATACAAATTCTCACGACGTTTCGACCATAACACAAACGGTCGTCATCAGGTGTGAAAAAAACCCAACGGCAAGAAACATTTGAAAGAAGTGTCGGTCCGCATTTATTTATTTCTTTTTAAAACGGTGTATTTATAAAAAAAAAAACGTTAGCGCCACGGGCAGCGATTTGGCAGTTTATTTAGAAAGACGAGTCCATCTATGTTCTGAAAAGAGGAGGGGGGAGACCAAAAATTAATGTATGCTGTCTGAAAGCCACCGTAAGCGTGAACAATCAATTAAGACCTGAAATGGTTGATCAAATCCTTCCAATGATTGCTAAGCCAGAATCCATCTTCTCGGTTGAAATTGTCTCTGTGCTTGTATATGTGGATAGCCTCATGAACGAATCTCTCATGGTAGCCAGATGGCTTACAAAGAACCTCTGTCTTGGAAAAGTCAATGTCATATGAGCCTACTGAATTATAACAATGATCTGCCACGGCCGAGGTGTTGGTCCTACCGTGTTTAAGGTCTGCTTTGTGTTCACGAATGCGGTCCGAGACATGGCGTTTGGTTTCTCCAATGTAACTACTACCACAGAGGCAACTTAGTTTGTAGACACCAGGGTACTGTATGTCCGGAATCACATCTTTTACAGACGGAGGCAGATCACGGATTTTATGTAATGTGTTGAAACGGACCTGGATCTTGTGTTTATTCAAGATTTTGGAGATCTTTTTTGTGATCCCCGCAATGTAGGGTAAAGTGATGGTTTTGAAAGGCTCCTCAAGAGGGTCCTTCTTCATGGTTTTAGTGATAGCTTTGCGGATTGTATAGTCGGAGTAACCATTAGCATTAAGAGCTTGGTGTACGTGCTTGAGTTCACTGCCTATGTGTTCCTGGTCGGATATGCATTGGGCTCTATGATACAGAGTCTTGATGAGAGAGTTCTTCTGTGATGGATGGTGGTGGGAATCCGGTTTCAGATAAGCATCCGTATGGGTAGCTTTCCTGTAGACAGAGTGGCTCATTGAACCATCAGGTCTCTTTTTAATTAGGACATCCAAAAAAGGTAACTTGCCATCTTTTTCGACTTCCATGGTAAATCTGATGGCTGGGTGTATGGAATTGATGTGGTCGAAGAATTGGTCTAGAGCAGGCCGGCCATGTGGCCAGATGACAAAAGTGTCATCCACGTACCTCTTCCATAAGGTTGGGCGCAGAGTGGCAGTCTGGATGGCGTCAGTCTCAAATTTCTCCATGAAAATGTTAGCTATAACCGGAGATAGGGGGGAGCCCATTGGGGTGCCCTCAGTTTGTTTGTAGAAAGTTCCATTCCAAGTGAAGTATGTATTGGTTAAACAGTGTCTCACCAGGGGGGGTACCTCAGTGTTTAGTCCTTGATGAACCAAGTCTTCAATTATTGCGATGGTGTCAGGTACAGGAACCTTGGTGAATAAGGAAACTACATCAAAACTGACAAGCAGGTCGTCTGGGGACAGGGAAATACCCTTGATTGTCGATACCAGGTGAGTAGAATTTTGTACCGCAGAGGTGGTTTTTCCAGTGAAAGGACGCAGGATTTCAAACACACACATGGTAAGATGGTCATGACAGTGTTGGTGATGTTGACAGCATTGACCGATGTTGGTGGTGGTGTTGATGATGTGGGGAGCGGTGGAGTCGCAGTTAGAGGGCCGCGCTGTGAATCCGGCGACCCGAGTTCGAATCCCGCTCACGGCCAACACCAGTGACGAATATCTAAACCCGTTCTGGGCCTCTCCTATGTCGACCTGCATCTCTCGATTCACCTACTCGGAATGCCTTCTCTTCCTTTACCCGGTATGAGTGCCTCGCTCAATCTCAATCATAGTTTAGCGTCAAACTCGGATCTACATCTCACCTCTCGAGAAGGGTCCCTGCCGATACCCATCTGGCAGTCCGCCAACATTGGTTCAAGCATTGATTCTGACTCTGCCGATGAGACACGCAGACTCCAAATATACAGCAGCATACGTCAGGGTCGGGACCGAACCCACGACCTCCTGCATACCGGGCGAGGGAGTTAACATCCCCTAGCCACCGCAGCTACAACTATCGATGACACCCAGCGTCTTTGACTACCGATAACACCCAGCTCAATGTCACCCGGGTTTTAATTCAAGCCCGTGCAATGTTTCCGGAGAACGTTTCAAACTTTTCCAGGATGCGCCACACGGAGCCAAATTCTGGGTCGAACGCAGAGGGCAAGGTTCTCTTTTTTTTCTTTTTCTCTCCGTCTGCAAAGATCGACCGCAGCCGCTGCCGTCCTCACCGACACGGGAACTCAATTGAGCGGCGAGCTTCGAAGATGCCATCGGGGGTCAAAATCAGCGCCGACTGTCCGTGCCTTCCGATGGCAAGACGCCGGTCTTTTTTCTGTTGGGCATCTGCCGGAATTGCTCAACAAAGGCGGGAGGATGCCAAGCGAGAATTTTAAAAAAGGCTTCTGAGCTCCCATTCAAACCCCCCTTGCTGCGTCTCACCCGTGTACAACCCGGCTCTGTCCTCCTCTTAACGAGTCATCGTCCCCAGGTCGCGCCTAATCGAGCTTGCGGCGAGATCCGCGTTCGATGGCCCCTCGGCCTTGCGTGCGCGCAAGTTCACAAGGCCCCGGATTGTGCTCGGGGCGGCACTCAAGGGAGCTGGGTCCACACACACGGAGGCCGCCTGTTACGTGGTGATGCATGCGGGCGGGCGAGCGAGCGGGCGGGCGGGCGGGCGAGGCGGTCGCAACCTGGCAGAGGCCAGCCGATGGGCGTGGTGGCACACGCCCGCAATGCGATGCTTGGGAGGCAAGGGCTTTGATGGATCGCGCAGATTTTCGAAGCTCCCTAATTTCGTTGCGCTGTGAGGTGGCCACGAGATGGCAAGGACAGCAAATTTCTTCTCGAGTCCCAAATTTAAGGAGCTTTGATTTTGCATTCCCGAGCGTGCTTTGGGTTTTCTCTACGGGCGCTCTGGTTTCCGCCCCCCTGCAAAAAGACGCTGGCATGGCATTGGTCAAATGCCAATGCAGGAACCTCCTGAAAATCAGCCTTCGGACTCGATGAGGCTTTCCTGGATAAAAAAACGAAACAAAAAAAAATCCCGTGCAATTTCATGGTGACCTGGCCACAAATGATAGTCCAATTAAGTGGCTTATCGTGTGGAATTTCTATCAGCCAAATACTCTAAATGCATGCTTCTAAACGTGGAGCGAAAAACCAGAGGACCAGGAGAGAAATCCACGTGACCACGGGGAGAGAGACACGCAAACTCCAAATAAACAGCAGCAGGCGTCAGGCGTAGGATCGAACCCACGACCTCCTCTGTATGCGAGGGCGAGGTAGTTAACATCTCATCACCGCGGCGGCGGCGGCGGCGGCGACAACGGTTGTGGTGGGTTTGCTGTGGTTGAGTTTGACGACGGTCGACAATCGCGGTGGGATGCGGTGCTCTTACCTCGCACGGAGCAGATGCAGCAGGCGACCCAGAGCAGCGGGACCCCCCAGGACCTCCGTGAGGAGGAGGAGGAGGACACCCTCGGCATGTCGGCGCGGAACTCTTGACCACGAAGGGAAGCGGCAACGCGTGCTCCCACGCACGCTCAGGGAGGGTCACTGTGGCCCGCGAGACGCACTTACCATGCCCGCCTTCAACCCGCGCGCTGCACGGGCACGCTCAGCCTGCTGCGAGGCTCCGTGAAGGAAGCAGCCTTTAGACGCGAGAGAGATGTACACAGCAGGGAGCGATGTGGCCAGCATCAGGCACGCCCTCGTCCCACTGCCCCGTCAGCTGCTATGTTTTTTTTCTTTTAAGGCTGAGTGGACCTAGGCCATGCCCGCGCGGCCAGGTGGATGTGTCAGCCGCTACCAATGCAGCTGCCTGGCCAGGAATGTGTGAATTTACGTTTGCTCCACTGGGGTTGTTAGCATTGAGGACCCGCGACGGGACGTGCGCGCATCACGCCCCGTGCGCACACCCAAAACCCACATGCCCACACCTAGCAGAGACTGAATCGGTGCCATTGAGGGTGGCACAAAGAGGCAGTGGTTTAACGATATGAGAGCAGCCACACACGCGGACTCCCCACCTTCCCTACGACCGCAAGGGCCAGAACGGTCGGGGGGGGGGGGGGAGGTGGCTGGCGAGGTGCGGGCCTCGGGGTGAGATTACGATTGTGATTAATCATCGTCAGTCACGAGGCGTGAGGGCAATTAACCACACGAGCACCCTTCCCCCCTTACCCACATGACTTAAAATCACTCCCAGGTGGGCGAGGGCAAGGGGGGGGGGGGGTGGAACTCGTGCAGGAGTCGACTCAAGTCGCGACCGAGGGGTCTCTCGCACCGTCAAGCGCCGCACGCGACGCGCGGAGGCTTTTGGAGTTTCCGTTCAACGACGTAAGGAGCAACCCCCAAGAAGCACACCCCTTTTCTTCATCCGCATCATTTCCTTCCACTCCTTCTGGATTCGTGCCGTTTCTGGTCGTGTGTTTCAATTCAGAATATTAATAATAAGAAGAAGAATTTAAATTTCCGAAGGATCAATCCAAGGCAGAAGTGCAAAAATATGCAATTTCATATAACAGTGGTTCACAACCTTGGTGGACCTGCAGCGTTGCTGCCAACCCTCAATAACAATGTCAGTGGACCACCAAGTGGTGATGCAAATCTGCGGCGTTTAGTGAAATACATCGGATCTGTAAGAGCTCTGCAGACCACTTAAAACTAAACTACTTTAAAAAATGTATTTTACCAGGTAAAGCCCACTGAGCTATGTAGCTCTTTTAGATAAGTGACCTGGCCGTCAAAAATGATAGCTCAACCAAGCGGCTGATCACGTGGAAATTCATTGCAACCAAATAACTCTGCATGCGTGTTTCTAAATGTCGAGGGGAAAACCAGAGGACCCGGAGAAAAATCCACGCGACCACGTGGGGAGAGACGTGTAGACTCCAAATATACAGCAGCAGGCATCACGGTCTGGATGGAACCCACGACCTCCTGCACACCAGGCGAGGTAGTTAACATCTCCTAGCCACCGTGATGATGATGAGAGAGGGATAGAACCCACGACCTCCTGCACACCAGGCGAGGTAGTTAACGTCTCCTAGCCACCGTGATGATGATGAGAGAGGAATAGAACCCACGACCTCCTGCACACCAGGCGAGGGAGTTAACGTCTCCTAGCCACCGTGGAGCCCCCAGGGCCCTGCTGACCACCACTGGCCCGAAGGGCGCAGGTTCATTCACAAGGTTGGCTACGTACGGTGTGAAAGAAGTTCAACATACATACATGAAATTGAAAACCGCTGCAGTTTGAACTGCATCGCAATTCACGACGTTCGACTGCAATCCATTAAAATGCACGCAGATGGCAGACTTGCGACAACACGTACGCGTATCTCAGAACTGAGCGAATTACTAGAAAGAAGGCCACGCTTAAAACCCACATTTCGTGTTCCATCCGTACTAAAGTAGCGCTGACTCGGTACCTTGATGCCACTCGCACAGCGGTGAATGAAACACGTTTCCAAACGAGCCGTAACGTTGGGTGGCATTTTTTTTACGAGCGCCTAACTTGGAAATTGCGCACGGGTGAAAACTCGCTTCCGATCGATCCCATAAGATTTAATTCGCTTCCCGGTGGAAGTGCGGGAAACAGGCGGACGCCGAGCGGACACAGACGCCCACGTTGTGGCGAGCACCTGAAGCGGACGCCGAGCGGACATAGACGCCCACGTTGTGGCGAGCACCTGAAGCGGACGCCGAGCGGACACAGACGTCCCCGTTGTGGCGAGCACCTGAGGCTGTCGGCCTGGGACTCGGCGCTTTCAACACCGTGCGGGAATTGAACTCCGCTCTCAAAAGCGAGTTGCTCAAACAAGCGTTCGTTTTTATTTATATATTTGGTGTGTGTGTGTGCTCTGTACATATATATTTCTCTTAATAAAGCGTGCAGGACTTGCCGCGTGTGTAACGCTCCAAGCGTAACGCACGGCACCGCAAAAGGGAAAAAAAACATTTACCTGCGTTGATGCCAAGGAATAATGAAAAGGATGACATTTTTGGTTTGTTTAAATGTCTACTCGTAAAAGACGTTCGCTTTTTTTGGAGACCCAAATGGAAAATGTGGGCTTTGCATTTAAAATACACGCGGAGCCTTCAGCGGCGGGGTTTGGACCCAAAAAAAACTCGCGAGCAACATCATCACTGACGCTATGTCAGCCTGGCACTCGTTTCACGAAACATTCTGATGGAGATGTTACACCTACATTTTGACTTAAAGCTTTCGTGACTGCAGTGATTCATATTCCTGGTTCTTTCGGAAACAAATATATATTTTATTATTTTATTGTTTCCCTTCAACGTGACTTTACCGAAAGAACCAAGAATATGTTCCACCTAGTCCAATATTTAAAAAAACCCGTCACGAATGCACATTTCAAATGTAGCTCTGTCGAAGAAAGTGTCCATCAAGCAAAAGCCTGACCGCTGATGAAACACCGAATGTTAAAACTGGCCCAGAGTTTTCTTGCATTGAACCGATGCTAGCAAGATGCACTCCCAGAAGGCCGTGCGATTCGCACGGTTGGCTCTGTGCGGTGCGAAAAAAGTTCAATGTATACACATAAACATTATACAGATATGAGGTGTTATTCATTTTGTGATTAACATTCTCCACAACAACGCTTCGTGATTATTTCTTCATTTACGTTTTTTTTTAAGAGCAGGGCTCTTTGAAGTCGCTCAGTCGACGAATTTACATCACGGGCAAAAGCGTGACGTCCCAATCGCGAATTTCTTCGTGAAAACATTGATTTCCCCCCTAATGTAAATGATATATTTTAACCCGACACGACTTGTTGAGGATACACGAGTTGACAGTGTTGGTGCCATCAGTGTGGCTACTTGTCCCTTCACTGGCTCCCTGCCCGTGTTGATTGTAATATTCTCTTGCTCGTATTCAAGGCCGTAAATGGACTTGCTCCTCCCTACATTCGTGACCTCCATCAGCCACGAATATTCCATCGAGATCATTAAGATCCTCAGATTGTGCGTTGCTCACTCTCCCACGGTCTTTAAGGCTTCACACGTGTGGTGGTGACGGCGCCTTCGCAATTGCGGCAGATATATTCTAGAACTCGATGCCCTTCGAGGTCAAGGGATTTTCCAGACTTACAAATCTTCAAATCTCGACTACAAACGTCTCTTGTTTCAAATGGCTTTCTCTCTCTCTCTCTTTAGTTATTTTCCACCGTCTTTCTCGCTTCTCCTTGACTTCACTGTTAACTATCTTCAGCCTTGCAATGCACAGCGCCCTCCGAGTGACTGTTTGAGGGCGCTCTCTGCAGTCGCCACATATTCAAGACGGGCATGGTGCCACCCACAAGCGTGGTGGCACCATGCCATGCCCGGTACGAATTATTCCCAGGTCTCCGTTGTGATGAAAGAGACGTCATTGTCGTGTTACTCTGTTCGGTGTCTCCACGAACACTTTTACTCCCATCAACCTCTTTACTGGTTCTCGGAGACCACTCTTATCGAGCAGCAGCATGTCCAAGCGAAACCTTCTGGGTCTCATCAGCAGTCAGGCTTGCTAAACAAATACGACTGGTTTATCAGATGTTATGGGCAGCAGCGGTAACAATTGTTTTTTTTTGCATTGAACAGGGCCGCGTATTTTACGAGCAGTGTTCCTGCCAATGAACGAAACCATTTTTATTTCACCAGCTAAGGCCCACTGAGCTATACAGCTCTTTTGCAGAAGCGACCTGGCCACAACAAGTGATAGCTCAACGAAAGTGGCTCGTCACTTGGAAATGTATTGCAGCCAAAGACTCGGAGCGCGAGTTTCTGGATGTGTGAGAGAAGAATCGGAGGACCTGGAGAGATATCCACGCGAGCATGATGAGAACATGCAACCCCAAAATACACGGGTATCAGGGTCGGGATCGAACCCACGACCTCCTGCATACCAGGCGTGGCGCCTACGGCGGCGAGATGTTATTCTGAATTGCCAGAATAACCATCTTCATCATAATGCCTCTGCGGCATAGCACACAGCGAGTTTGTGTGCTATCTCGTTAGCGAGCAGCACCAAATTTGGCTGAATAATGGACAACGTCGCCCGCTCGTAACCGACGGACGCACGTGCACACGTGCACACGCGCGCACATACCGTGCCACACCAACCGGGGGTGGGGGGAGGTGTGTGTGTGTCATAATAACGTGTGGACTTTTTTTTTAAAAAACGCTGGAATTAATAAATGGGACGAAGCGTACACTCACAGAGGGCGCCTCTCTCTCTCGCTTAGCCCGGCTCAATGAATGCCATCAGCTGTGCCCCACACCTCCCCCGCCCAACCACCCTCACGAGAACACAGCCTTTACATTGAAGACGGAGCGGTGTAACGGGGGAGGAGGAGGGGGGGTGTTGTAACACGGGGACCGCTTAAGAAAATCAGGATTATGTGACAACATTTTTTTTCCGATTTACATTTTTTTAAAAAGCCACCCGCAACCACACCCCCCCCCACACCCCCCCAGAGTGGAACTGCCTCTGGGGGTGAAAGAGCACTTTGTGTTTTGAATGTCGCGACCCAACAAACATCAACTGGGCCGCTCGGTTTCTAACCCAACATTCGTCCGGCATTCCTCCCCGCTAGGTTCACTCCGCCCAAAACGACTTCCACGTGCGGCAGTAGCGAGATGTGGACATGGTGGGGAGTAGTTAGTCAGTAGTACTGTCAGTCAGCAACACTGTTAGTCAGTGGCACTGTTAGTCAGTAGTACTGTTAGTCAGTACTGTTAGCAACACTGTTAGTCAGTAGTACTGTCAGTCAGTAACACTGTTAGTCAGTAGTACTGTTAGTCAGTAGTACTGTCAGTCAGTAACACTGTTAGTCAGTAACACTGTTAATCAGTAACATTGTTAGTCAGTAGTACTGTTAGGCAGTAGTACTGTTAGTCAGTAGTACTGTCAGTCAGTAACACTGTTAGTCAGTAGTACTGTTAGTCAGTAGTACTGTCAGTCAGTAACACTGTTAGTCAGTGGCACTGTTAGTCAGTAGTACTGTTAGTCAGTAGTACTGTCAGTCAGTAACACTGTTAGTCAGTAACACTGTTAGTCAGTAGTACTGGTAGTCAGTAGTACTGTCAGTCAGTAGTACTGTCAGTCAGTAGTACTGTCAGTCAGTAACACTGTTAGTCAGTGGCACTGT